ACAGTCTGGACTTTAATGTAGATTCAGAAAGTAAATATACGCTTTTTATTAACTTTGCTAAATGGATACCAGTCCAGTCAGTACCTTACGCTTTGTTGTTATTATAAAGATTTAGCAAGATGTTCATTGAGTTGGTGCAACAACAATTACCCAACTCAAATGAGCTTTACTGCTTTGTTCAATAACAAACTGCTCGGAGTGAGTTTTTCTCTCACTGACGGATACACACCTCTTACTGTTTTGGAGAAAACAATCACTGTGCCATCTGTTAGTCTGTATGATAAATTAACAGCTTCACTGCGTGAGCAATTAGTTTCTGACAGTTTGAGCAGAATCAATAATTTGCAGACACTAGGCCGAATTATGGCTGCATGAAATCTCACTTTTCCACGACATGAACTGACTTAAAAAGGATGGAATTGGGAAAGTTTTTTGTGTCAAATTCAAGTATTATTAATGTAAACAAAGGACACGGTTGCAAACAAGCATTTACTCCCTTAACTCCATAATTAAGAGGACTCTTTTTTCCCTTTTTTGTTTCACTGGCTGCAGGTTTCATTTAAAAAGCCATCAAGTCTGTTTTGTACATGTTAGCAGCTAAGCTAAGGATAATAGAGCTTACTTTTGAACAGTTAATGTAGCTTCAGTCATGTGTTTCATTCACGCTTGCAATTCACATTTTTATTGACGTCCATTCAGTAAAAATACATTTGCTACCACAACACCCCAATGGTTCCAAATAAGCAACAAAAAGTTACAACAAGACTGTCTTTGTGTTGTAACATGCAAGAAACCTGTAGTAGAACCAGACTCATGTTGAACAGACATCTGTCCCGACTGTGTTCTGCTTGGAAAGTGTGATAGAGGGAGAGAAGAGGAAGAGAGATGGAGAGCATCAAACAAAAATAAAACACGTTACATTGCATGAAGGCTCGTGTCACTCTGTTTGACTCTCCTGTTCTATCAGTGACGTTTATGAAATCTGCTGCTGTCTGTCTCACATGAACGATCCCTCTGCAGGCTAAACGTGCATTGGAGAGCCGCGTAGGTTTTTATAATTTCAGGACAAAATCATTGATAGCGACAATTTGTTGGTCGTTGTCATATTTGTGTAAGAAATTTCCTTTGCAGCAGCGTCAGAAAATAACAAACGCTCCCTGGGACAACTATTCGCTTCCGAGTGGTTGTGATTTGTTGTATTGAAAATGTGAAATCTAAGTAACTGAATGTATCTTAACCAAGCATTACACCTGAGAAGTCTCTGAACTGAACTCTCAGTCCAGCTCTTTCTTGAACCCACAGCATCTCTTTCCCCAGCAGTGCCTGTGTGTGTAATGGGACACTGCTAAACGATGCTGAGAGCTCTTCAGTGCTGTCACGGCCTGTTACACCTGACTCCATCCTCTCTGCCGTCCATGCACTCGCCTGTTGTTAGCTTGTCCTCTCCAGGCTAATTTATGACACTATCAGACTCATCGGCTGCTGGCTACTGGAGGTCCTCATGCTAAAATTAATTACTTAAACTCATTACATAGCTTAATAACTTTGTGTTCCTTATTCTTGATGTATAATACATATCAGAGGAGGCTGGGGCACTCAGGAACTTTACCCTACTCTTGCTTGCTAATGCTATCCTACACAACTGCATACTCAAGCATGTAAAATCACTTAAAGAGTGTAAGTATGATGGATTACTTTGTCTTTTTATGACACTATATATGCTAATACTAATGCTAAAAACTAAAAGTGTGTGCATCTTCACTTGCTTTTTCAGTCAAACAGATTGTTTGCATGGTTGCTTCATTTGGATTTCCTATTTGCAATCTATGGGAGTGGCTCAGCAGGCAAGGGCTTTGTGTGTGTTTACCTGTTTGTGTGTGTATGTGCACAAATCTATGCTCCATGCTTACCATTCACGTGTCTCCGTTCACTTCGTTCCTCTCAACATCAGCCACCAAAGGTCAGTAAAATATGCATAATGAAATACGTATAAATAATTACTTTTTTTTTTGCATAAATTACATCTGTAAATAGTGGCATGCATGGCTGCTGTACGCTTTTGAGTAGACGGACTCGTTACCAAGAAAATAAAAGTCATGTCAGAGTTTCAGGACTTTCTTTAAACCTGCATAAAGAATAAATAGCTCTCTTGTGATATCATCAAAATTACAAATTAATTGAATTAGTATTTGTTTGTTGACTAATAGAAAAAAATAAATTCATAAATATGATGTGTTCTTCATTAGGATTGCCTTTGTCCATGCAGTAACAAAAACTTGCATCTTAGCATTCTTTAACAAAACCTGATGTTTCTGCTTCGATGTTTTCAGTAGGCAGATTTTTTGTGGCTTGTTGACCAGCAGTCGTCTTGCGCCAAGGTTAAGCTGCAACTTTAACCCAGTCACCAGAGTCACAGATTAGTCTATTTCAGTGTCTTCTTTTACCAAATGGATCTTGTGTTTCCTCTCAGAGCTCTTCAAATAGCTGAACCTTTTTTTTTTTCAAGGCATCAAATAGCACATTTCTACCTGGGGCTTTTTTTTCCTTCTCATGTTAAAAAAAAATCTTCTTTGTTTACATGGGACATTTGGTGACCTTATTAAAAAACTGTTGATTCATTCAAAAACATAGCAGATCACACAGGGAGTATATGCTTAGGTTTGCGTTCAATTCTATTCCGTTTTGTACTTGTACACACACACAGTGGTTAATGCTATAACACTAAACAACTAACTAATGGTGACAGCTAGCCAGTGCTTCAGGGCGGACAAGGTTGGATTACACCATGAGAGCAGACACACACAAACACTGTCTCCTCTGAGGGGTTGTTTTCCCTGCAACCTGTGCTCATGTTGGAGGTGTCCAGTGTGAGTCCTTTGGTTTCGCTCTCCTGTCTCATGTGTCACAGCATGTTGTCACTTATAGAAGCCCTGATGTATTATTGAAGATGCCAGTCGGTTACTCAGGCACTGTACATTAGGCTAACATGAGTGCAATTACCTTCGTCAGGATGTATGTATGGGAGTCTAATTGCTCTGCATAAGCAATGACTGATAACATCACTGCAAAACATTGCATGCGTGCCAGTTTTATCTTGCTCTGGAGTGGTTTATACACAGTTACTGAATCAAACTGATTTGTATAATCACAATGATCATAATTAGATTGAGATGATTAAGATAAAAACATCTGGGGAGGGGAATGTAGATGGCATTTTTAAGCACATCCTCCTCTAAGTGACCACTGGTGATCCTCATATCAAACTAAAAAATAGAATGAATGAATATAAATAAATAACATTAATAAAATCTGACCAGCAGAAATAAAGAGAGGAGCTGCCCTCTGCAGCACTGTGCACTTAGGGCAGCTAACCAGCTTTCCTTTGTGTATGAATGGGCGTCTATATGGGGAAAGGCTCATGCTGCAGCAGTGGCTAATTCCTGCTAATCCCATCGTTCTGCCTACCACTTAGCGATGGTTTCCAATGGCAGCCCCAGCGCAGAGGAATTGCTGGTGAGATTAGCTAGCGTTGGCTCCTCCTCTGTGGTTTACAGCCAGGCCAGACTGGCCTGCCACCACGATCAAGCTTACCTTTTGCACATAAATGGATTAATTTGTTTTTCAAAGATGTTCCAAGTTTTATAAAGAGAAAAATGTAAGTTTGATGCAATCTATTCTGCTCCTATTGTGCTTTTTTAGTTGTGTGTGAACTGTCTTTTGACTGCTGAATTCTGTGAGGTCATAAGAATGGTCTGTGCCGGGTGTATGTGAGGTTGTTTGTGGAGGATTTGTTTGTCACTCTTTGATTGGCTGCGGTTAATATAGCTTTGCATGTTTCCATGCAAAGATGGGATCCTGTGTTTGTTCTGGGTTCGTCATTGCATTCTATACCCTTTGGTTTATTTTGTGACTAGTGGGTTTATACTGTTGATGTAACAAGTGTAGAAACGCACAACAAGGTGCATGGGGAAGCATTGACAACACAGGTTTAAAAGTTGGCCAAAAAAATGAACAACTCTAATGGTTTTACTGACAATTTGCAGATTTTGAAAAAAGTTTGATTCATGGAGTGTGGGATTATTTATATAAATTGTCAAATTAACTACTAATATCATTATATCTATGCATCATTGTTGTCATTCCTTTCACGTCCTCCTATAAAAAAACTCATGCATCAGACCTGTCCTGCTCCCATTAAAAGTCAGTGTAAACAGAATAATAACACATCTGCATCAGGCTCCAGTGTATTAAATACAATATGACAGGAAGTAACATAACGTCCAGAAATAGCTTTCCAGTTTCTTTAGGGGGTTGGGTGCCTTCAGATGAAGACAGTGCTGAGTGTTGGTTGTCTTTTTGTTGAACACTCATACAGTGCAACATAACCAACCCTCTGTCAAGAAGCTATCGTACTTTCATCTTAAACCAGCCTTTTAAAAATGATCTTCAAAAGTCTGTTTCCACTAACTGAAATCCAACTAAGACGGCTGACTAAGTCAGTGCTCATGTGTTGGAAGGAGGTAAGAGTTAGAGGTTGATGCCCCCCCAAAAAATGACACCTCTATGAACGCTGTGACACCCTGCAGCTCCATCGTAAAGCGTTACTATAGTGTTAAAAGACCAAACCTTCAAAATTAACTGGCTAACTGTCCAATGGATTATCCTTCAGTTAAACACTTGATGTGCTTCCAGTTTAATTCCCAAACAAATCACCATGACAGCACATTGATCCCAAGCATCAGGCTATTCTTCTGTCAGTAGCGTAGTCGAAGACACAAGAAATGCATTCATTATTTCAGCTCCAAACCAAAGAAAGGTAAAATGTTTAATGTGTTTTCTGTGTCGTCTGAGGCTTTAAGTGTTCTTGAGTTGAGCTCTTCTTATATGTTTACTAAGATCTCACATGGATAAGATTTGTATATGGTATTGGGCTATTGCTGCTTCCCTCTCTGTGTCTAAACTGTGACCCATGTTTTTTGTCTTTCCCAGGAGATCTCTCCTCAACATGTTTCCACAATCAGGGAAATCGATTGTCTTTGACAACTTTCCAGATCCAACAGACACTTGGGAAATTATCGAGACAATTGGAAAAGGGACCTACGGAAAAGTCTACAAGGTGCTCAACAAAATTGATGGAAGCAAAGCGGCTGTAAAGATACTGGATCCAATTCATGTAAGCTGACTTTCTTATCTGGAACATTTCATTTCTGGTATTCTGGCATCCAGGAAATTTTTACTAATAACTTAGGTAGGGAATGTTTTTGGCGGCGGCTTTTTTCGTGCCTCATTGTAGAGATAGGACAGATAGAGCCGGAAATCTGGGAAAGAGAGTGGGGATTGACGTGCGGAAAAGGAGCCATGCATCGGATTCGAACCACTGTGCCACCAGCGTCCCTGGGGAATTGATTTTTGTAATAATGAAAGCTTTTATACTTTTCTAAATTGTGAGGTTTACAAGTATACAACATTTTTAATGCAGATGGAGTTTGTAGACCTTCTGAAAACACTTAAATGTAACGCTACTGGCACCTAATATGATTAAGACCTCCCTTTAAAGGCACAGCCATTTTACACTGAGAAATGTAATGGGTAGAAAAAGTTTTTAAAAAAAGTTCAGTGAAGTATGATTACAGATCTTTGGTAGAGTTTTGCAGTACTCAGCTTTTTAATCAGCACAGAGTGATTTGGAAAAGGAATTTTCTTCCTTCTGCAAATAATCTCAACAACTTGCTACTAATGTCTCATGATTGGGAAATATCACGGCAGTATTCTGATAATGTTGGGCTCCAGCTTGTGCGGACATTCAGAATTCAGCCAAAACACTTTTGGCACCCATGCAGAAATGTGCGATGCAAATTTTGACACAGAGCAGAGAAACACGATCCTGGCAGCGAGGGGATGATCCATCCGATAAAGCAGACAGTTTCTACACTGACATGATTTACCAATTACAGAACATTGCTGGATGAAATGGCACCCCATTTATGAGCAGCTAGAATTATTGTGCCGTCTTAAGCTTGACGTAATTGTACATGAAAAACAAATATCCCTATTTCCAGATTAAAGAAGAACAGTGAAGACTGTCATAGAACTATAGTCATCATTGAAGTCATGTTAGCTGTCAGGGTTTCCTTTGGGACCGATAATACCATTTATTTAGTTTATTTTGAAGGTAAACTGAACGGCTTATTTAGCAGCTCTAAAGATGAGTCATTTGATCTATTAAAACAAACCATGCTAGAAAAAGTCATTAAGCTTTAGCGAACTTATAACTGTCTCATTATTAAGAAATGATAATCTACAGCCCACTAGTCTGAGAGCAGCGTCACGACCATCAGTTTAATCACAGCGTTTATTATCTCATGTATGGACCTTTAACATTATAGACAGAGCTGCAGTTTTGAAAAGTCTACTATTAAGCTACACAAGACAATACTTTTATATGTAAAGCACAGAGTTGCATATCGACTGTAAAGTTTTCTCTCATCAGACACACATCAGAGCGATGGTTCTGAACCCTGATAAAGACAAAGGTAGATCTCTTTCATGGTCATGACGGAGAGAGTACACAATTTGTCTCATAATGAATTTCTTTCTTGCCAACGTCTACATAGTTTAAACCTTTATTGTGTCTGATATATGAGGACAGAATAACATTGTTTGAGCTGCGGTAGACATATAAATGTCACATGAAGGGGACACAAGGCAGAAAAAATAAGTAGTCCCTGCAGTAGCACACATACATAATGCCACACTGTACTTTAATTCTATTTCAATTAAGATAAGCTCAACAAAAAACAAGACTACAACAACTTCTGGAGGTTTATGTTTTATCATAATACATCTAATCTTTATGAATAAGAGATGTTTCCAGAGTCTAAAGAATTAGCATCATTACAGTATTTAAGTCTTGCTGTGGTAGTAGAGTGTCAGCCGACTACACAGTGTGTTGGCATTCACTGTTTTCACAGGGGTTACATAACTTTACCCACCACATCCACAGTTGTTTTGCTTTTCCCTAAATGCATTGTTATCAATACTTTGTCGAACAAAAGACACAAACTGGAAGTGTCTGCTCATTGCAGCCGCAGACGAGATTAGCAGGGATCAGATTTCACTTATTACGTGACAGAGAGTAAGGAGAGTTGACCCAGAGCCATGCAAAGAGGTAGCTGACTGACAGGACAATGGTGGAGGTGGTGAACATAGGTTTGTGTGTCCTTTACATTAAATATGCATATTGGCAAGATTTCTGTGTGTGTGTTTGCCAACCAGATTTCTATGTTATGTTAAATACCCATGTCTTTGTCGCCTGATCACACAGCAGGGCTCCAACAGGTAGTAGAGAGTATTCAAAAACATACTCTAATTATTTTTCCTCCACAGTGGTCCCAAACACAGTGTTGACATTTTCAAATCATTTCTGAAGAGCAGAAACAGAAACTTCATTTTATACTGAGGCGGGCAAACAATCACATTTTTTATTGTGATTAATCCTTAAATTCGAATAGTTCATCGCGATTAATAACATATTTAATGCTTGAAATTCCATTATTTCGCAATTAAAAATGAAAATTGTAGGCTTTTATTTAGAATTGTTGTACTGCTTTGAGTTGAGAGTTCTTTACTTGCTGTTTGAATTCAACCCTGCTTTTATTTTGAACAAAAGTAAGGACCTTCTGGTAGATTAAATGTTACGGTATTAACTTAACCATGGAAAAGGAACTCATTACACATCAAAATTAAATGAAAACAGCGAAAAGGAACAGTAAAGAAGTGGAACGTTTGATGTCATGAGGTGGATATTACTTTTTGACTCGTCAGCTGAGCTCTCTGGGAGTTTCTTAAACTGAAATGAGACATTAAGATGCAGCAGTGTCGTTTCTTTTCCATCACTGTGACTACAGGGAGACGCCGAGGGGGCTTATCCACGGTGCGTCTTAAAGGTCAAAATAGCATGCGATTAATCACCATTTGAAAAATATAATGCATTAATTTCAGAACTTAATTAGTTGCGATTAACTAGTTAATGTTGACAGCCTTATGTTATACACATCATAACCCTAACCCTTTAATACAAAGCTGGATGAAAGGAGATGGTTAGGTTAGCATATCTTCTCAATCTTCTCGCCTAACTAATTCCTTTGAAATCTTTTGTCTTAAACGATTGGACAAATTGAAATGAGTGAACATGTTTGTGGCTGTGACTAACTGATCTTTGTCCTTAACTTTTCAGGATATCGACGAGGAGATCGAAGCGGAGTACAACATCCTCAAAGCGCTCTCTGACCACGCCAACGTTGTCAAGTTCTACGGGATGTATTACAAGAAGGATATAAAATGTGGAGATCAGCTGTGGCTTGTCTTGGAGGTAGGATCATCACTTTCATTATATGCAAATAGAGAAACGACGATGTGTTTACAAACCCATTCATTTGACTAAGGCCTTCAGAGCTTTTTTTTTGTGTCTACTGCATGCAGACAGAGAGTGTTAAAATGCAGATTACAGGTCAGAATATACTTCACACAGCATGTCTCGCCAGGTATACGAAGCGTTGAGCAAATCCGGCAATGGGATTATGTAGTGGTTTAAGTCAGCACAGGCAGTCATGGAGTTAACTTAAGGGCCACCTGGGAGATGTGGTTTAGGTCGACATGGATGTGTTGGGGGTTGCTGTTAGCTTGCATGTCACAGGTTCCCTGCTGAGTGCATGAGAGCAGGGATTTCTGTTTACAGGGGCTGTCTCAGTGCATCAGTGATACACATGGAGCACAGGCCAAATTCATCTAGAAGCTGATTTCTGTTGTTTGAGTTTTAGGTAGAACATTCTGACGCTGTAAAGGTTTAGGGCTGCAAAATAAATCACAATGTTATGCTCATGCTCATGTCTGAATTCATCGCAATGAATCAAAAAGGTAAACCAACAATGCTCTCTCAGTGATGTTTGGATGAAGGCCTGGGTATAATTGCAATGTTTTACCACATCTTAGATGCAGACATATGAAGCTAAAGGTATCAGCTAACCTCAAATTAAATGTTACCTTTATTGTGTAAAGCATGCAGAACTACATATAGACATAAAACTGTGAGTTAGCTGATATGCACTCTGAAATTGTTTACTTATTTCAGTTGAGATAGTTATTGCATTATTTAACAATGGCCTCCCATATTTATCTCATATTGTGAAGGCCTTCTCAGCCTGCAGGTGCACTTTATTTTTGCAGGTGCCATATTCTGAAAAAGGCCTGAATTTGAGGTTCTGTTTGCTGAGTGGTTAGAGCTTGCGCCCCATGCACAGAGGCTGAAGTCGTCCTCGAAGCGGCCCAGGTTCAAATCCGACCTGTGGCTCCTTTCTTGCACGTCATTCCCCACTCTCTCTGTCCCTAATTTCAGAATCTATCCACTGTCCTGTCTCTCCAATAAAAGGCCCCAAAAGCCCAAAAATAAATCTTAAAACAAAAGAAAAGGCCCGATTGTGACCAAAGCCATCGCTATATTTGACTTTGAGGCTGCTAACCTGCTAACACCCAGGAAAGGTTAGATGCAGGTATGAATTTGTGATATTTTATGTGAACGCTCAAGGGGACCTTGCTGCTGCGGCTGCTTTCTGTTCTTCTTAAAAAGCTTTTGCCGTCAGCACCCTAGTTCTTGCGTCTTTCATATTTCATTGCCCGCTGTAGCCTTTATCAAATGTCAGGCTCTGCACAAACATGTAATGGAGGTTCAGACCCAGCAAAGGGAAAAGTGTTTGAAGAGTCGAACACGGCGGCGGTCATCGGTTTTCTTTGGCTCTTGACTTTCTGACCGTGTCATTTGTGTTTCTGCTTTGATAGAGAGAAGAACGAATCAGTAAACAGGGTCAGGGATGATAAGAATGAAGGAGAAGTTTGAAAGTTGTGGTCATAACGTTGTTTAAAGAAGTGTTTTTTTAAAGAATGAATCAAAGTATTAAATTCATAATATTGCATTGCCTTTAGAATGCTAATGTTGGTCTGCCTTTGCCTTAATACGTTTTAGACATGGACCATTAGAGGGTACATCTTTATACTTTAGTTATATTTTACAGATAATATCTCTTAAACTGATGACATTCCCTTCAGTATCATCGGTGTTACTGTTTAGTGCTGTTGACCAAGTTTAGCATGCTAACACAATAAACCAAAATGGCAAACCATTGTTACATATTCAGCATTAGCTGCTAAACACTTGCTCATTGTAGGCATTCTCAAAGTACTGCCATGCCAAAGTATCACATGTGACTTTGAATCACTCTGTTGACATTGCAAACATTTAACTGACCAATAAGAATCACTTTTAGCTGATGAAAAAACTCCTCCAAACCCAGCTCTGCACAGCCCATCTGCATCTACTCTTATCAAACATCATTTCAACAGGATGCAGCAGCCTTAGAATAACACCTCACAACATGAAAGGACTACACAATTTAAAAAAAAAAGGACAAATTAACAGAAAGAACATTGAAAAAAGATTAATTGCTTTGCATATCTCATTTCCAGTTGCAATTTAATTTAGTCTTTTTTTATCTTCAGTAAATTGTGCACACACACACATTAACTCTGGTCTCAACAAAGACACTTTCTCTGTCTGCACCTCAAAAGAAGTGCCCATCTCCTCCATTTCTGCTCCACAGTGTGCTGTATTTTTCCATCATCGGTGCAAGAACAGCGTGTCCATATTTCTGTAATCTAAGCTCAGTGGGCTCTGCATGAACAGCAGCAGTGTTATGCTAACCCAGTAGATAGTTTTCACCTCTTCAGCTTGTGTTTCTTTCCCTTTTCATCACTGCCCGTCCTCCTGACCGTTCAAGAGGACCCTGCAATTACTTTGTTCCTATATCAAGTACAATCTAAGATGCTGAACAGTCACACCAACACCGCATTATCAGAAAACAGAGACCTTCATCAGATAGGATCATTCTTATTTTTTTCACTGTGCTTGATGGTTTTGTGTTAAGGTCGTAGATTATTTTTACGACATTACTCGCTTCCTTTGTGTAAAAATCTGCTGTCAGTAGAGCTTACCCAGCTCTGCTGCTTTGTTTACTCCATGTTTCCCGCTGTGGTTTGCATAACCAATTTCAAAGTTTCCCTTGCAAAAATCTGCAGCCAGCAGTCCAAATCTGGTGGCTAATCCTGAGGCTGAATCACAGCCTGACAGTTTAGCAAGTGGCTGTGCGGGGCTGCGTTTGTGTGCATGTGTGTGTATTCTGAAGGGGCTTTGGCAGTAAAGAGACAGGAAAGCAGGCAGTGAGGTGGTCATTCACCATGGTTACTGTCCCTTCTTTCCAAACTGTAATTTTCCATCCTTTAGCTCTGCTAGGAGGAGCCTGTTGGTGCCCCTGCTCTGACAGCAGACCGCTCATTATGAACCCAATTCATACAAATTGCATCCTCTTCTTTGTCAGCCCCTCATTGGGGTCTGTGAGCTTTTGGCTTTGCCTCTGTAGTGTTCTCTTTTATAATAGCGGATGTGGGTAGAGAAGAGCAAGCTTTCATGTATGTCGGCCTAATTTGGCTCCCATAGAGTTCAGAAATACTTCAAAGAGAGCAGTGATTGAGCAACTTTTATTCTTTAATTGGAAACACAAACCTGATTTGGATGTGCATTTCATTTGCAAGCACCTGTATTTCATCCAAAGAGCCTGTTAAATGAAGGCCAATGATTCAGCCAACCTTTAAAAGCTGATCTTTGAGCTGAATCTTATCTTCCATTATGCCTAAAGGAAAAGTCAGAATGCCAAGATGTAATGTGAAATATTCTTACTGCTTGTCTACATAGCTTTTGAGCTCCTAATTAAAATCATTGTATACAGAACTGAACCTCTGCTATGTGTGGCTAGGGTTGTGAGTGACTATACCAGAATGTCAAACTTCAATATGATAGAAGTAAAATCCAAATTAGAGAATTATAGATACGAATATTTCTTGTTCGTATTTTTAAATTCTCAACAATAGCAAGCATACTCCTTCTTTGCCGCAGCATCGGTACTTTTCGATACTATTGATCACCCAGATGACTTGGTCATTATCCAAGTATCCAAAAATGTTGACAACCTTAGTTGTTAAGACCATTCTTGTTTGTGATACTCTATTTTTCTTCTGTTAAAGGCTTTATATGCAATTTTTCACACTTAAATATAATAGAAATCAAGTATATCCTCTGAAAATAACTCTGTGAGTCATGACTGTCTACAATGGGTGTAACACCCGAGTCCCACTGTCTTTCAGAGTCCTATTTTCACTTTGTTTACATCGCCCGGACAACTGGCATCCCCTCGCGTATAAAAGTTGTTTAATTGAAGGACTAGAGAAAAGAAGAATAACATACTGTACTCACTGCTTAACTGTGTTTCTAGATCACGCTCATTTCAGGTAAATTTACATGCAGTGTGAAGATACCAGTATAATAAAGATCGCTAGCATTAGCATGCTAACACAACAATGCACCGCAAGTTGTTTTGGTTTCATGCTGGTGCTCAAGGGCGACATCTGCTGGATCAAAAAAATCACATATAAAGCCTTTAAAGACAAATATCAATACCTTTGGTCTGATTCAGATTGCTCAAAAAGAAAATGACATTTTGGTTTGAAAAGCTTTAAACATGAGCTTTTTTAAAACTTAGATTTTATGCCAACCGTGGAGAGTTTGTTTTACGGTTAATGAATCTCTTCAATGACGGTATTACTACACCTCCAATATTTTAAATAGAACACCCTGTATCCTGATACGTATAGTATTGCCATATTTACCAGCTAGGCTAAAAGGGTGTTGGTATGAAACGCTGACTTTTGGGAGAACTTCAACAACTTAAAGTAACTACAAGGACACTTTTCACATCTTTCATTCACATGTTATCACATATCCAAAGTATATTTAAAAGTTAAAAAGTTGAGGTGCACACAGATATATTTGCAGCGATAGACTAATAGGTGTTATTCATCAGCGCTGACTCTCTCTGTTTTCTCTTAACTGTGTTCCTAATGGCAGTAGAGATCGGATGGTGACAACATTGAGCGAGCCGAAAGAGCTGCAAGTATTTAATAATAAATGGGCTCAGTCATTAGGCAATGGAAGAAGTAACTGGGCATGAAGGGCCCTTTGCCAGGACCGGCATCTGGCATCTTAAAGAGTTTCAGTTTCTCTGCAGAGATGGAAGAACTTGTCAAACTGTCTTTGTAGCACTACATTAAACTTTTCTATATGCTAGAGTGGCTACAAGAGAATTATTTCTCAATAACAAGACATGACTGTGAAGAAGAATAAATTACCGGCTGTGTAGGAAGAAGTACGCTGAAGTTAAAGTGGCAATATACGGTAAACATTTAAATACTACACCAGCAACTCATTGACAATATTGCATGTGCTTATGTGCTAAACTTGGGACAATGACAAAACCTGAATGTCCGGAGATTTTCCAGGGTTCACAAGTGAAAACAGCTTAAGAAAAGGGCACGCACATTTAAGCCTGTATACAGATTTACCTCTCAGCATGACAATGAGCAGAGCACAAAGCTCAGATGACACTGGACAAGGACCTGAATGTCCTCGAATATCCAAGTCCACAGCACAGCAGGACTGGAGTCCACCGGATCCATGTAATGGACGAAACCAAAGAGTGCAAAGCTGGTCGAGGGAAACCAGAGAGGAGTTAATCATCAGTTTAACATGCAATAATTCAATCAGTTTATCAGGAAAGTAAATCAGAGTTTGAATACTGAATGGTTTGCATTGGTATCACATAACATCTCCGTCTAAACCAAGTCCTCCGTGTTGTTTCTGAGGCCTTTTGTTTGTTCTCGCTCATAGTATCAAGCTGTGTTTTCATTGGATACCTTCAGGAAGTCAAAGAATAAACCGCTCAGCCCTCCTGAACCCTCTTCAGTCTCTGTCCTGAGTTGTTCTTCCCTGGTATCCTAGGGTCACCTGCACAGCCCTTAATTGACAACAAGTTTAAAATAGTATTGTTAGAGCTTTCCCGCAAGTGGTGGAAGGAAGTGGACACCTCAGCTGTTATGAGTAAACGATAAGGCCGCTGTAACAACAGGAGTGTTTTTCTCTGGAGTCGGTCCAGTGTGTCACGCACACATAAACACGTTTATTCAGTGTTACAGACACAAGGCGACGCCACACGTCTAATAATCCAACTAAGATTTAAAATGCACGTTCATATTCGTGCACGTATACGTACATCAAAGAAGTTGACTTAAGTCAGCACCTGTGTGTTTAAAGCTCGTCCGTTTCATCTTTACATCCGTTTCATCCACTTCCTTTACAAGTCTTTGATCGAATAACTCGATTTACATGTCTGAACAAGCACCTGACCTCGTTTGTAATGGAGAACATCCTTCTCAGTGTACGTTTTTTCTTCTTCTTTGAAAATGAATAGTCCTGGTCAAACTTGTGACATTCAAGATGAAGATATGAGAGGCTGATCGCAACAGACCTTTTTTTATGCTAGTTCCTTTCTATACGGACAGTGTACTTTTTGGTATATAATCAAGGATATTACTTGATTTTCAGTTAATAAAAACCAGTTAGAATAGCATTGTTTTTCCTCTTGAAAACCTTTTTTCCTTCTTGGTGATGCATTTTCTGCAGCTGGCATACCGATGTTGAAGTAAATCAGTTTTTAATGTGCTTTAACATGTGTGTCCATATCTTAAATCAGAGACCTTTTTCTCTCTCTCTCTCTAAGATTTATTTTTGGGGATTTATTAGAGAGACAGGAGACTGGATAGAGCCTGAAATCAGGGAGAGAGATAGTGGGGAATGACATGCAGCAAAGGAGGCACAGGTCAGATTTAAACCCGGGCCCGCCCACAGAGATGGCTGGGCCCCCGCTCAGGATATGATTTGCATGCACATTCGAACCATGTTAGCACTAGCTTCCTGTCTAACATTAGCTCCCTCTGCCTGGCTTTCAACAGCCTTCGGAGCCAACTGAAATAAGTTTGTTAACAAGTTTTTGTTGGGGTCAAATGTCCAAGCCTGCTTCCTCCTTTTCTTCTGCTTTCTTAACTGGCATCCTAACTTTGTCCCGGTCCTGGAATGGCTTTATTGATAGGACATTATTGGCATAACAGTTATGTTCACTGTGCCCGCTTACATCGATAAAATTACAAAGTGAAGGCTGATACCATTTTAAGAAGAGGGGGGTCTTTATTTTTTAATCAGGCTGAGTGTTGCTGTGTTTTTGTTGCTTAAAGAGGTAAAGGCGAGTATTTAGATGTGAAATAAAATGTGGTCATTGTTGCTTAAAATCAGGACGGACCATGTTGTTTTTGCTAACCTGCATGGGTCCTCATGTGAAGCAGTTTAAGGGGAATTGGTAGTTGTTGTTTTTTTGGAAAATAAAGTTAAGTGTATGAGCCCAAGCTTTTACTCCAAAGATAGGTCAGAAAATCAAGTTTAATGTGTAAAGATTAAAGTCAAACCAGGTGTGAAGTTTCTTTAATGTTTCAGCTCTGCAGAGAGTTTGAGTCTTCACCACGTCTCAAATAATTAATCCTCACCGAGCATCACTTTCTAGAAGTGGGCACTGTGGCTTAGCTGAGAGCACTAACATTTAACTCTACTTAAACTAGGACACAGGACCTCTCATTAATATGGATTTCTCTGTCTGCCCTGTGTAATTTAATGATGACAGGTGATATTGCGGCAGTGATGTACTGACGTCAGACGCAGCTCTTCGTCAGAGGGCTGTGCTGTCTGTGAAAGCCTCGCTGGTATTCTCTGCTTAACTGCAGTTTGTCAGCATGTCTGAGAGCCGAGAGAGGGAGTGATTAAGCTCCCCATGTGGCAGCTGAGATACACGCCATCCATCCTGCAACAGCTCTCTGGGCACCTGATGGATAGGTAGATTGATGGGCAGATAGAAAACAGAGACAAGGCGTTGAAAAGGTATACCAATGCATAGTCAAGGTCAAAAACTTGCTTCACTGTCAGCATCTATAATATGGGGGGGGGGGGGGTTACTGAATGGCCCAAGTGATCATGGGTTCTCCAGGGCAGAGTTTCTGTTCAAGTCTATCAGAGTCGCAGAAAAAAAATTAGAAGACATAGTTGGTCCCCATTTGGAGATTTGGGTACAAAACTGCAAATATAACACGTGTTGTGATTCAAATAGTGTGTCAGTCATCACTGTCTTCCTTAAGATTGCAGCGGAAGATGTTATTCTATTAATAATCATACAAATTGAGTCCATCATTGTCTTGGTTGTGCCAATATATCAACATATCAAACAAATGTATTTATAAAGCACATTAAAAACAACAAAGGTGCTGATTATGATAGATGACATACTGTATCTCTGACCATTATTAAAACAAACAGACGGGCATCGAGCTGTAAAGTACCTGAGATTGTTTTTTGGGGCATTTCTGCCTTTATTAGATGGAAAGCTGAAATGTTGGGAAGAGAGAGAGTAGGGCATGCCATGCAGCAAAGGGCCGAAGTCAGATTCAAACCCACGGCCTCTAGCCTCTGTACATGAGGCTCGAGACGTAACCGCTTAGCTATCCCGTGCCCCAGGTACCCTGTCATTCTGAATGTAAATTGAAAAAAGATCATAGTTTTCTAGATTTCTATCTATTATTGTCATAGTTATTTATCACTAACCTGTTTTTGGGGACGTAGCGCACAATTATTTAGTGCGTCGCCCCCAGGGGACTGATTCTTATCCTAAATAACTACACGCAAATGCACATCTACTGCCTAATTAATCTTTCAGTGTACAAGCGCAGGAAATGAGTGTAATTATAGAAGAACAAGAGTTCAATACAGAAAAGATATGAAGGAGATTTCATGTAAAACACATTTTATATGCAGTTGGGACTAAAGAGGAGGGTTGAAATGCTAACTGATAATAAAAGTGACAAAGAGGGATGTCTGGTGTATGTGTGGATGATATATTTATGCATAGTGTGTTTACAAACAGGATGTGAGATTTCTGTTGGAGGCTGTTCCCAGCACTGTGCCTGACATCTTAAAGCTTTTTATTTTTCATAAAGCACTGGCATCTCCCAAAGAAAAGGCTCAAATTAAGGGTTATTATTGTTACCAAGGCAACCTACCAGGCAATTTTCTGTAATTTTCCAAGTGGGATTGCTATTGACTCCATCTAAGCGCAGTACACTACAAGAAAACACCGATATTTACACAACATTGAAGATTTTTTTATGTGGTGAGAAGAAGAATGTGCCTGTGGTGATTTCAATCTCGGTACATTCTGTTTCAGTGTAAAATGTCGACTTATAAATAACATATAATTCCTCTTATAAACCCTGGCATTGTTTGAAAACATAAGAGGATGTACTTCATTTTAAGATGATTTGTGCATGTTTAATGTTTACCCTGCTTAGTCATCAAAGCATAGATTAAACCCTGCATGCTAAAATGTACATTCACACCGCAGGCAAGATTTTTTTTTTTTTTTTTTACCTCTCGCTAAGCTGCCTCGGAAAGATAAGCCGCTAAAGATTGACACAATTACATTCAGCATCTCTGTTCTCACTGTGAAATCTCATCAAAACGTTTTCATCTTCTGCTTTTTCCCTGCGTTAAATTCTGCATATCTCAGATGTTGGAGATTTTGGCATATTTGTATAAGTTCAGACATAAGTGCTGAGTCATGTTGCTCAGTTTGCTCTTTTTTCCATGTGTGTTTTTCTGTCTGCTGCAGCTCTGCAATGGTGGCTCTGTGACAGATCTGGCCAAAGGCATGCTGAAGAGAGGAGACAGGATGGATGAACCCATCATTGCCTTCATCATACATGAGGCCCTCATGGTAAGTCTGGCCTTTTGAATCCACTTAATGCTAAAATAAAGAGTTAAAACGAAGAACCTGTCACTGAATGCTCTGCTTCCATAAAAATCATTTAAATGGGATAATTGTCATTGTCAATTGTCAATCCTCTTTTTTTTTCCCCACAGGGCCTCCAGCACCTGCACATAAACAATACCATCCACCGAGACGTCAAAGGCAATAACATCCTGTTGACAACCCATGGAGGGATCAAGCTTGTGGATTTCGGTACGCAATGTGTCTCTTTCTTTGTAGAAGAAAAGTTGTCACGATGTCTTTTCTGCACTATCCTCCTGTAATCAGTAGAAATCATGTTATGCCTCTATTCAACAGAAAAGGGTCAAATCCATTACCTTCAGCCACTCGCCAAATAAATTGCAACGCTAATTAGTTTCCTTGAGAGGTTGGAAGACGTTAACAAAACCCGACAAGGTGGCGGACGATTATACTTTTCCATTACACCCTATCTTTTACATTCTCTGGCAGACAGCAGGGGACGTTGTTGATATGCGCCCTGTGTTTGCACTTATTTGCTTTCGGGTTTTCTTAACCAAATGAGGCGCCAAGAGCAAGCGCAGGCATAGTTCTTGGATTGAAGGCTCATAATGGCCAAGTGAATGTGACTATTTCCAGGAGATGACTCACTCCTGTTTTTCTTCAGGGCCTGAAAAAACCAACTGCCTGTTTTCATCACAAATAAAAAATCCCCACTCGACATGTGTGTAGGTTTGCATTTAGTCTGCTAATTGTGGGCTCCTCTTAAAAGCCCCTTTCTAACCACGAAGCGCAAAGTGCACAGCTCTTACATGAGGAGGAGGAGGACGATGGGAGGGTATTAATGGATTCACTTGTTATTTGAATGAGCCAGGCCATTCGCTGTCTCCAGAGCAGCTTCTTCCTCCTCACAAAGCTGTTTGAGATTCTCTACATCTGTTTATTCCGACAGTTTTGAAAATGAAAAACTTGAGTCTTCAGGGAGTAAGAAGATAGAAAGTGGATGTAAACTGCATCTTGACAAGTTGGTGGAGGCATACATCATTGATTTGTAGATTCTAGTTTTTGGTTTTTGTCTTGTTTTTGCTGCTGGATGCAAATGGTCAAATACTGAATGCTGTTAAAGCGTTGCATCTCATGGAAGAAAAATACTTATTTTCCTCATACAACCTTAAATTGCATTTGAAAGTAAGTTAGCTGTCAAATGACCACTCTATCTTTTTTTATTATTCCATTAAGCTGTTTTTTTTTTTTGACAAATGCATACAGTGTTTTAGAAATTAAAAAACCTTCTTTGTAAAAAATAGAAAAAGTCAAAGAGAAAGAGAGAATCTGGGCTCTCTTCAAACTTGCTGCTGTGAATGCATCATGTTCTGATGCTGAATTGGTTGGTTGTATTTGTGTAAAACTCCCACATCAATGAATTGATCCACACAACAGCCCGGTGTGTCCATCTACAGCCACCTGAGCTGACTAAAGGGTCCTTGACAAAGACACTTAACTGGTAACGCATCATGAGTCCCTCTTGATGAGAGTGGCAGTCACACAGTATCTCTGCTGGTAAATGTCAAAACAGCAGAGTCTTTTTAAAGCAACAATATGTCACTTTTCCATTTTAAAGTAGTAGTTTCAACGTTGCTCTTATAGTACATTGACCTGTAACAGACAGAATTGGTTTCCTCCCATGTCCACTGATCGAGACGTGTATGACTGAGTGATGGAAGAGAACGTGACAGGTGAAGCTGAGAAGGGAAGACAGGCCGAGTAAGAGTGTCCATCCTCGCAGATATTATTCAGATTGTGGAGTAATGTTCTGCTATATCGTGATCGTTGTCTCATCTTTTGCAGCAACACCTGCTTCAGAAAGTTTTACAACACTGCTGTTACGCTCAGAGACCTTCAGTCAGCGCAAAAAATGCTCCACTCCGAATTCCTTGGGTGTTCAAATTGGCCAGAAAGAAATTCACCCACATTAGAATAAATAACAGCTGACTTCACGCTTTCTTTTTTTACTACAACCAAAATCTAAAAAGCAATTTTTCACCCTAAAGCGTACCCTGCTGAGTCATTGATTTGATCTTAAATGGTACACATTTATTTGAACATGATGCTGTTTTGAGGAATACTTGAAACTGAGATCTTGAACCCATTGGAAAAATATTTGCTTACCAATAACTCAAATGAAAAATAAGCTGTAATGTTTCCTAACCTCAGCATTCTTTCACGACTGATGGAGCTGACCTCTAATGGCCCAAAGGACTGTAGGTGTAAGGTTGTTCCTCATTGGCTACATTCATTTCTTTAAAAATGATCTGTATATGCATATACAGAAAAAAGATACTTTAACCAAACATGTATTGTAATCTCGTATGGCATTATTGTGAACACACATCATACAAATCAGAATAATCAAACAGGTTATGTAACGATGTTCACTGAACCACTGGGAAGCTTACAGGTCAGTGATGTGGAAATAAAGAGCTCAAACATGAGCTCAGTATTCTGTCATTAATGAAGCTGGGCTAAACACAATAACAGACATTTTGAAGAATAACCAATGTTTGTGTCTGCATAGAAATCTTAATCAACCTAAAACATCGCCCACCTGACACTTGATGCTGCTGCTTATCTTACAACAAAAGAAAATCTCGTTAGTAGTCGGTTCTGTTGCAAAGTATTCACAAACTTTCACCGTTTCAGTTCACCACAAGAGGCTTCAAGATCTCTCGGAAGATGTCGCACATGTGAGGCTATATATTTGAAGTGATTATCACAAACAACATCTTACCATTTTCCTTACGATGAAGAGATTTCATTTGTTTAGTACATCTTATCGAGTGTCCCTCTGGCTAAACTTGTAATGAATCTTGAAGATAGGAAGGGTTTCATTTCTACAGAGGTGTGAAGAAGAGAATCACATGACAACACACTCAACTCTCAGAAAAATACATTTCATTTGCAGTTGTAGCACTTTCACCCATACAAAAAAAAAATCCATGCATTGATTTTGATACCAATGAGTAAAAAGTAATTGGACTACCTACCACCACCAAACCCAATGTTATCTTTGCAGAATGCTTAGTCACTGTGCTCTGCTCTCACATTTTCTCCTGTTGTTCTAAACTAATGCATTTAGAGATAACAGGTTAAATAAGAGGCATTGCTATTGTGACAGGAATGCTAAACTGTGCTAAGAGCATCACTGAAATAAGAGGTGTAAGAATAGATGTGCACATTGGAGGTGAGAAAATGACGCCAAAAGCAGCATTAGCATCATCATGATCAGTACAAAGGGTTTTACTATTTGTAGCCTGTGTCAGCGGGAAACTTAGGCTTGAAATAGAAAACTTGCTCTCTTACAAGACAAATGAAAGGTGTCATGTAGAACAGAAAATATTTGACTTACCACAGTTTGTCCACTCTACATTATTCCCTCTAATGGCTGGGTTGCATCGAAATTTGATAGAAAAGTGTTTGTGGTCCTCAGATGATGAGTCATAATGATTTTGATGATCCTAAGGCTTTTTGTCTTACCAGTATAAGACTCCCATTTTTGGTTTTGGATAAAATACCTCAATAGCTATTTGAACAATTACCTTGAAAGGTGGTATGGACATTGATGTTCCTAACATACTGCTTTCATTTTGGAAGTCTCTTTAACTTCTCCTTGGCAGCGTCATAAGCTGAAATAACTGAATGCATATATTATGCTGCAGCATGCTTGTGCTTAGTACAAAAAAACTTACCTTAAAATGATGAACAAGGTAGGAAATGCACCTGCTTGCTGGCCGTATTAGTGTAAAAGTATGAGTATGCTGAATTTAGCATTTAGCTCAAAGAACAGCTTTAGGCCCTCAGAGCCAATAGCATGGCTGGAAACTGTATGAAGGTTTGGCTGAAAATGGGACATCAGGAACACAACATGTATCTGACTTTCATTGAAATGCAAACTCCTAATTCCTTAGCCTTTCAGCTTTCAATGACACAAAGTAAATGTTCTGTCATTCACCTGAATCAAAGGTGGCAGATAAGACGTGGAACCCATTAGAGTCTTTGCTGACTCTTGAATTTGTCAGCTTTCAAAGAACAAAATTATAGTTTGTAGTGAAATATCGCTCAGCCGCTGCCGAGCGCAGGAGAACAGCAGGTACAAAAATGAAATCTTCTGTTGTTTTGCTGACAGTTTAAATTCGTATCAGATAATGGTTATGGCGTCATCAGAAAAGGTAAAAAAAAAAAAAAAAGGGGGAGTAGGAGTATTCATGTACAAAAACGTGCAGTGACGAAAATGAAAAAAAAAGAGGGGGGGGGCGACTCTTACACGTAGGCTCTGCGTCACGCTGGGATTAATGTTTTTTTCATATGGAGGGGTGCATGCTACACTAAGCAGCTGAAGAGATAAAGCCCCCGCAGTGACTCATCAGCAGCAGAGAAACAAAATAGCAAAGAGATGGACCCAAAAAGAGTGAGGGGGGGGGGGGGGGAGGATAAGAGGAGCTGTTCGTTTATGGGCCTCTCATGAATATTCTAATTGACAGCGTTATCTCTGCGATGATTATTAAGTGTGGACCACCAGGCTCCACTTCGGGCTAATGTAGTGGAAAGAGACGGCAGTGAGAGCTTTTAATACGGGGCTCTTTGTGTCCCTGTACCCTCACACACTCTTACACCGAATGCATATTGTGGCGGATGTGTGTATGTGTCAGTCGAGGTGTTTTGTTTGGTTCTGCCTTCTGCAGCTATGTAAAACTACGGGTTTGTTATCACTAATGTGGGCTGATGTGAAACTGCAGAGTGGTTTGGCTGCCACATGTCCCTCTGTGTGTGTAAGTGTGAGTGTGTATATGTCAGTCTAAGGCATATCTCCCGCTCTTGCACATGATTTTAATCCCTTTTGATGTTTGACACAGAACCGTTTTTCTCCGCATTGCTCATCTCCACCCCTGGCTGTTACTCCCCGGCACCATCAAAGCCTCACTGCTGTTACTGTACTGTGCTGAGAATTGGCTTTTACAGTCAGTGACAGTATTAGAATTGCATTTATGTTGTATAATCAGTTTACACAATGTTCATCCCCCTTTAATATTAACCAGCCAAAAAAAACAATCTGCTTAAAAAGGCAGCATTTAAATTTAGTCTGCATATTTCAGATTCTTGTGAAATAAGGAGACATACTGTGTAAGACAAAGACATTAGTGTGCGGCCGCATGTCGTGCATCAGCAGATCACCTTTTGTTTGTGGGTTGCTGCTTATGTCTCGAGGCTCTGCTTTTGTCCTGGTTGCTGCTTCAGCAAAGCCAGCCCTGGGAAACATCACTGTGTGCTTTAACACTGATTTGTCTGGACTGCACTGAAGTCACGATTGTGGGTCAGCGTGTTCCTCGTTGGGCTCTGTGCAGCGATACACAAACACGTTTATTCAAACACGTTTCCTCTCTCTGCAGACCATTTCGTTCTCGCAGTAATTTTCTTGTGGTTTTAAAATGATTACATGATTAAAAATGAAAGATGTCAGACTTGCTGCAAATTCATACAAAAACGGGGATTAAAGCAGGAATACAAAATAAGACTGTATACAACATGGACATAGTCTCAGTGATGTCACCGGTTTGTGTCTGAGGATACATTTTGGAGCCCATTGATGGCGGTCGCCATATTAGAATTGCTGACTCTACCTAACTGTCTTTCAATCTTAAATCAATCGAACAGCTTCAGTGAGCCCACCTGTCACTCCACTCAGCCAACCGTTAACATACATAACTCTTAGCCTTAATATAATTAAAACGGATATCACCCCCTGTACTGTCTTTTAGCAACAAAGAAATGATCTGTTTCGACGAAAATCATTATTTGCATCAGGCTCAAATTGTATTATGTTAACATGGGACTTTATGGGGATTCCTTGAAATGTTTTCCCTGCTATCCCGCCCTGTCCAAACACAAATCTTTGGTTTTATTAATGATTATATCACACTTGCCGCAAAAAGCTCCATGAAGCTCCACCAGATGTTTTTTTGAAAGCTTCCAGCTTTCCTTTAATAATGTAAGTTATATTTTCTGCTGCAATATGTTTATAATTCCTTAACATACTGATTCATGCCTCATAGCGTTTTTCCCTCTTAGAGGCATTGATCTCATAAATTGTAAGACGGGTTTATTGCAGCATGGTTACGCTTCTTAGCTTTACAGTTGCTTGTCTATATGAACAAAATGCACAATTTGATCAAACTGCTTTCTTTGGCCCTTTTTTTTTGTTGAATCGACAGTCTCATTGTCGCACCATGACCGTGTCCTCCTTTTGAATTAGAAAGGTGACATGCTTAAGATCTTCTGAGAGCCGGAGCCTTTTCACAGTTTAATTATATTCAAACATTTTTCTTGAATTGTCCTGCAAAGTCCTACAAAGTCTTGTGTGTGTGTAATTCAAAGCAATCAATCAGTTTGGAAAATACAGCAGCTTATTGGCTGTGTGTGCATGTGAGTCATGCATGTGTGTTTGTTTTTTTCCTCTTTGTCACTATAGTCACAGCGTTATCAGTCGGATACAAATAAGATCTAAGATCTCCTCAGCTCCATATCTGTGAAGCAGCATCCAGCTGTTAACTGTTCACTGTTCCTTGTCACAGATCATCACTTTCACTATCCAGTTCCATTTCTGGGAAGAAAAATGAAACGCATGTCTAAGAAGTTACTCCGATCGTGTGAACTGTCTCCACTGAGTTCTGAGAGCGAGGCTGAAATGTCTAAAGTGTGTATTCTGTTCCCCGCAGGTGTTTCTGCCCAGCTGACAAATACCCGCCTAAGGAGGAACACCTCTGTGGGAACTCCCTTCTGGATGGCTCCCGAGGTAAAGTCAAACCAGGCTATTAACGCCCCCACAGCCTCGTCTCTTTCCACTACATTAGCCTGGAGCAGATCCCAATGGGCCACTGTTTGTAATCATCAGATAGATAACACTGATACAATGTGCATGAAAAAATGGAATGGGCAGCCTTCATCTTTTCCCCTGTTTTATTATAACACAGTGAGCAAGCAGTGCCTACTGTATATATTCACATTAGGAATCTTTAATACCTGCTAATGGTTATTGTAACTTTTGTCTGTGTTGCATAAGAACCAATTAAAAAGGAGCTCTCAGCTTATTTTTGAGTTTGACATCACGTGTTTTCATGCTTCAGTCTTACAGTTGGAAGCAGTTGCAGATGCAGATGCACAGATTTACACCTCAGCTATGAAGTAGAACAGGAGGTGGCTGATTTCTTTGCAAAAACAATGCATTGTGGGTGATGTAGGCCCCTGATTAGCCAAGGCAGATGAATACATGGAATAAATAAAAAAAATCCAGATAGCTATGGCAATAGCAATCCTACATCAGTGGTGTAGGCTTATCATGCTGTTGGGCCACGAGCTTTATTAGCTTTGCATTAATCATATTTTCTTTTTGCCATTCACAGATATTTTAATGTTGATTAATTCTGATCACATTGGTATTTAATACTATGCAGGGTTGAGCTAATGTATTTCTGACCAAAGGCCTGGTAAAGCAGTGTATACAAAGCATTTCATGAACTCAAAATGAGTTAAGTAGGCTTTTTGATACTAAGCAGTTCCTGCATTTTTTGCGAGTTTTATATCCCAGGCTTCTGTTGATTATGTTGAGTCGTGGTAAAAACTAACATGTGCCACACCAATGACATAAAGACATTATAAGGATCTCGTGACTTGGGGACACAAATCTACTTTATCTGACACCGTGATGGTGAAGTGAAATGATGAGTTGTGAAGACGGTTCAGCAGCTCCTTCTGCAAAACAATTTATTGCATAATGAGAGCTAATTGTAATTGTAGGAGAACAGGTGGAGCAGGAGCTGGCACGTTTGAGGGGATAAAACAAGCACATTTAATTTTATCATTCACTGAGCTGAACTTACAACTCCTCAGGAAAACCTGAACACAAAGAGGCATCCCATAATAAGCACCCTCTCCACACTTCACCTCACCAAGATAAGATTTGCTACAGTTACACATTGTAAGCGCTGCACCTACACTACACTTTAAATGGATTTCATCTCGACATGTGTGCCGTCCCTTGCTTTAGCCTTTGCAAAGGAAGCAACTCAGAGGGCCAAAACAAAGATCTTTACATGAGGTTTGCATGCAGTGCAAATCATTCATTATAATATACATTTCGTGACCATCACTGTCGCTCCTCAGATATTTTAATCTGATTTGTTTAACATTTGTTTAATTAACAATGTTCTAAGAAAGAGCGCAGCCAGGGAGGAAAACCAGTAAATCGTAAGATGAAGCCGTATGGTGGTTAGGACGGAGCAACCAGGATCTACAGTATTCTGATAAAAAGAAAAAAATATATTTTTGATAACTTTTTAGAGAGTTTCTCCATAAAGGACTATATTGACTACAAGTAGGTCAGGTGGACACTGACAGTCTGACCCACTTTCTAAAGAAGATATGGTTACTTATTGTTGATGGGTAAGTTGTTTTAATGTTTTTCATGTTGGAAAATCTATTTTTTTATTATTATTACTGACTATAATTTGGGATTTCATTAGGCACCATATTTGGCATTTTCTGAGACATTTTGATCGTTCTAGTTTTTGTTGCAAAATAGTCTTCCTGAGAGCTGCTTTAGAAGTCCCATATGTAAGATATCTACTGAATTAAATCATAAAGTGGCCTTACTAAATCATCAGACATTAAGGAAACAGTGTTGAAGTGCTGGCTTCTCTGACAACAACGCAGCAGCCAGTATGTCCTCCTAAGTTTGCAGAATAGTTAGTATTTGTTTTGACCAGAGACAGCAGGCAGCATAAAAGGCACCTCAACTTGGTTGTTTTGGACCCCCTTTGGTTTGCCCGACATGAGACCGGATATCTCAGAAAGCCAACAGGTGATGGAAGTGGGCAAGCACACTGGTTCAGATATAACTGATTCTACACGACCTAAAAAGCCTCAGTGTTTCACTAATAAGCTCCACGAGCAGAAACGTGGTCAAACTAGGATCAATATTGGAGATGCTTTTGGAAAAAAGGAGAGCGATTAGAACGCAGAAATATTTCAAGACAGATGCAGAGCAGGCTAAACACTGAAGCTTCAGTGTCCGCGACATGACAACCTGCGTGGGCACTCTAGGTGGGAGGGGGCGGGGGAGACGACTCTCTACAATTTGTTTTGAATTTGGACCGCAGTACCACTTTTAAATGCTACGTCTAAAAGTTACATATTGCAGTTATTATTTGTGTTCCTTCATGAAGAGGTGAACCAGAAGAATGAGCCTCTGTGATTAGTGTTTCATGGAGAAGTGTTTTTGTTTGTGTGTTTCTGGTACAGGATGTTTTATTGGTGATCTTTAATGATTTTGTCTGTGTACATATGTGCATGCCTATTGGGGATTCAAAATGTATTGATTTCAGACATTTGACTACAGTGGTGAGCGTGTATGTTTGTGTGGCCATGCCTCCCACTCACTGATGATTCATTTTGTTGATTGGGTACCATGTTGCCCTAAGGACGTAGATGATAGACTGTGTGTCTGAGTTGTGTATGCGGGTAATATTTTGCCAACAGCAGATGAAGATGGGACTGAGCCTTGGCTTCAACACTTTGATTATGTTCAGACAATATTTTATCATAACATTTTGCTCTTGTGCAATATTTGTCTCTGTAGTGTGTGTGCACAAGTCCTGAAAAAATATCAGATCCACACACAACGCTTGGGAACTGTCTACTTGCTGAAGAAATAGGGCCAAAGATTTATTTTCTCTACGACCTTACACGATTGAAAATTTGCCGACATTCTTTGTGTATTGCAAACTGTGATGGGATACAGAGCGACACAGACCAATGAAACAAAAAGGTGGTATATTGTTCGGGTTAATAAACCTTGCGGAGAGCTCTTTTGATTGAAAGACTCATAATTATAAAAAAACATGTGACCAGAGGTGGTGGTTAGCGTGACTCGGGGGCTTTGTCTGTACTTCACAATTTTCACCTCAGACTGAAGTTTCAATTACTGTGTCGTGTCTTGTTTTCATTTAGTTGTTCTCTCACCTCTGGCCGCTGTAGGTAATAGCGTGTGAGCAGCAGCTCGACTCGACCTATGACGCTCGCTGCGATGTGTGGTCGCTCGGCATCACCGCCATAGAGCTGGGTGATGGAGACCCACCTCTGTCTGACCTCCACCCAATGAGAGCCCTTTTCAAAATACCCAGGTGAGCGTCTGTCACACCTACACAGCCATCTATCATCATCACAGGGCTGCTCCTCTGTCAGTTTAGGTTTATTCTAATGTTTGAGTGCCTGGTGCTGTATCGCAGCAAGTAGGGCGGGCGTCTGGGAGCTAGGCGTGTCGCCTTGCCACAAACTTAAATAGTTATCAGTTTGTCTTGCCTGGACAACCACAGCAAGGAAGTGATAACCGGACCCTTTGACCAGAGAGCCGGCATCAGTACCTCCTGCCAACATGGGATCTAAGAATATCTTGTTGTTTTATTCAACCTTTGCTGATGGCTAAACTCAAAACTTAATAATTTCTTGCTATTTTGTGAAGGCCTTCATTACTTTGAGACACGACCTACAGCAGTAGAGCTAAAACTGTTTGATTTTTTATTCACTGCACCGACGCAGACTGTCAGAAAATGAAGACAGGGAAATGCAGTGGTTGTACAGGATTCAAGAAAAGCCATCTCCTCGACCTTAAAGCAGTGATTTTACTGTCTATACACCCACACACACACCCCCCCCCACACACACACACACACACACACACACACACACACACACACACACACACACACTGTCTTCATACAAAGTACAGTCTTTTCATTTCAAATGGCTTTTTCCTGCTCACAGGGGTTTATCCATAGACCCCTCCCCTCCTGGCTCTGATCCCTTTAGTCCTACAGTGGGAGGCTGAGAGCACAACCACCCTTTTATTTCTTCATCTGAATGTATTGTGGGCTGAAGGTGAAAAGTAATTGTTTATCATGTCCTGATACAAGTGTGAGAGCTGCATAAGCACTTATCGTGCCTGTCATCGCCACAGCACAGCACTTTGTCCATCACTGCTCTGAAACACACACACACACACACACACACACACACACACACACACACACACAAAGGCTGCTCCTGCTCCTGTCACCGATGTCCTGTGTGTTTGCTCTGGGGGTCGCGCTCCCCAGGAGCCATCACACAGCTTCCTCACAATCTATGTGACTGCTGCAGCCAGAGCTTTAGGCTGTCTGTTCACACTCCTCTGTGTCCTCCTCTCACTGCCCAGGGTTCCTTAACCTACTTTCCTTAAGCTGCATTTGTCCATTCATCATGTAGTTGTCCAGTCATATATTATATTTAAATTATCTAGTTATCTTGGATTTTTTTATCTTTACGTTTGACAGAATTTGAAACTAGTAGGTTGTGGAGTCTGATAACCAAATAGAAGTTGGTTAGTTGTACACAATTCAACCCATTTTTTAAAAACCAAAATCAAACAAATCTTCATAACCATCTACACAGTATCCAGCTCAAAATTACAGCTCTAGTACAGTATGTCTATGTTACATTTATAACATAATATGTCTACTAGAACTGATAACAGCTTCTATTGGCAATCCACAAATAAACCTCAACCCCAAACAAAAAAGGGAAGACAAGCAGAAGCATTCAAATGCATTTACACAAACATATTTTGGGATGCTCCATCTTTTTCTGTCTTTCTCTTTAAGGACAGAAACAGAATTAGACTGGGAGGGATTGGGATGACAGAATGCATAAGTCAAATCCCTGCTCTAAGAATCACTCTCAAGCAGGTGAAAGATTACAAGTGCTCTCCTAATTATGCTCAAGTGTAAGGACTTAAAGCTTTTATCCGCCATAATGTGCAAAAGAGAAGATATGAATTACCCTTGCATATTCAAACTACTGCAAAAACACAGTGGATAAATACAAAGTCGACCTAAGTAAGCAAGGCATAAACAGGATAGCGAATTGAAAATACGACCTCATATTTCCATCCTGAGAATTAAAACCTCTCATGAGGTCTCATTTAAATAGCTCATGCGACCCTGTTTGCCTTCTAGATAAGAAAAACACTTTAATAAACACAGCATTAGCAGAGCAGACGCCAAATAAAATGTCTGTTCTGCTTATTGGTTGTGTTGTGTGATAAACAGAAGATGTATGCCCTCTCATTAGGACAATTTATCGCTGTCAGAGCCAATGGGTAAAAGGCTACGATGCATTAGCAGACGGCATTGACTTTCCTACCCACTTGCCAGGAACACTCTTGTAAGAAGGTACTTAAAGCAGAACAAGAATTTACAGCAAATTAGCTCAGTTGTAGGACATTAGTGAGGCCTCTCGGCTTGACCCCGGAGCAGCATTTCTTTGTAGGAGAAACTTTAGGATTTGAAGATCTGGTTTCATATTTAACTTTTCTGACTTTTACTTCAAAGCCATCAAATTTGTCTGTCTCAACACCACACAGCTGCACACGTGGAGAGTTTGTTACTCTTTCCTCCTGCAGAAACACCTCTGGATGTCTCGGATGATGAATAGTTAAGATTTCATTCCACCAGTTCCACTCTTTGCCTCGGCCTTTTGTTCCCCGCCGCAGCCTGCGTAAATCTCATCTCATCTTATCTTTCCATTTATTTTTCTTTCCTCTAACAGAAATCCTGCTCCGACTCTCCACCAGCCCGAGCTCTGGTCAGACGACTTTAATGACTTCATCTGCAAGTGAGTGTGGATGCTCAGGGCCCCCCCCCCCCTCCTTCCCCCCTGTGAATGAAACAGAAAGTAGGCACACTTTGAATATGCATATAAAACAACACATTCAATGCCCTTTTGTCTCGTCTACAGATGTCTTATTAAGGACTTTGAGCTGAGACCAAATGTGCTAGACCTGCTGCAGCACGTGTTCATCAAACAGATTGTCGGCAGAGAGAAAATCCTGCAGAAGCAATTGATTGAGCTCATTGATCTCAACCAACAAATAGGAGCCATTGAAAAAACAAGGTACTGTCTGAACTTCATTTCTGCACGTCTCCATTCTAAAATCTCACGTTTCTACATGTCGTGCTGCCTTTTCTTTTTTTTCTTTTTTTTTTTTTGCCCAGCAGGATACTCACACACCATAAAGTGTTTGATAGATGTTGTTTAAAAAAAAAACCAAAAAACGTACAGTCTGCAAGCCTCCCCGTCACTGGGTTTCATATGGAAGGCTGCAGCTTAACTTTTGCAGTCAGTATAATCCAAATTACCCTGCTTGCTGGATGTTTTACAAGCCCTGTCACCCCTCACATAAACAACAGCTCAATCCTTGCTCCGGCTTCCTTCAGGGGCGCTGGCTGCACAGTATGAGTCAAAATGTCGGCCCCGGAAAAAGTGTGTGTTACCCATGCAGTCATGAAATGTTAATCCTATTTCTGTCGTTTAAGCCATCATGGAAAGACAGACAGACGCAGAGACAGTAATGACAGGTAACAAATGCATATATGACCTTTATGAAACTGTAGGAGTAGATTATTATTGGCTTGTTTTTAGCGCCCTCAGAACCCTTGCTGTAGTTGTGATCGAACATGTGTTTGCAATCGACTACATGGGCTGATTTTAGATTGTTCACACGCTTTTATCCTGCCCTTACTCACATTGTCGCCTCTCTTATGATACAGTTTGTTGTCGCATTACCTCTGTGTTTAACTAATCTTTTCTTTTGGATGAATGAGCTGTAGAAAAGGGCGACATAAAACCAGTCTATTAACGATCGTAGAATCTGTATCCTGCTGCCATTTAAAACTGTAGTATTATGAAGTCTACTGTTGACTCACCCCAGCAGTTCTTGAGCTCCAAACCACACCAGTGTTTATCAAAAACCTGCAGATACGTAGAGTATTAGCAGAGGTTAAATGCAATCATGGTTGGAGAAACCACCATCATTCACTCGGTAATCTTATGTAATGAAGCTTTTCGGACTTTGCATTATGGGAAGAAGCATTAGACTCTGATGCACACCACCTTGCTTTTATAACAAGGAAACATGTGGCCTTTAATGCTAAAACATCGTGCAGTAATTTCAAGCACAGTTTGCTGAAATGATGATGATTTGATATTTCTTAAGCCAGTGTTTCAAATTCTGTGGATATTTTCCTCAAATGTCAAAAGTCATACTTGTTGGAGGGAATATTTAAAAGGATGAAGCTTTTGTACAGTTTTGCTACCACAGTAATGAGCATGTAAATCAGTGTTGTATTGATGATTTGATCTGTTGTTGTATTTTTGAGCATTGTAAGATTATTGTTTCTATAAGGAGAGCAGACAAATAAGAACGTTTCTAACTTTCTTCACAAGATGAAATTTACACCATTTTCTCTAAGAGGAGTTTTGTTCAAGAGATGAAACCGCATACAGATGGTTTCCATGTTTCCTTTAACATTACTGTTTAGCATCCAGACCCTGAAGAGTTAACATTTAGATCTGTATCCAGTTGAAACTTTGATTGTATTGACACACTGTTGGGCTCTTCTAAGTGAAGAGATGTTTCAATTTGCCTCAGCAAACATCATGCACTGCTACAGTATGTGCACAGGGTATATAGGCTGTCATTGTCGTGTAGAGTATAAACAGTGTTTGCTTTGCTCGGCGAGAGACCTGATTGTGTCTGTTGTGAGTCTAGGCATGAGCGCATGCACACTAAAAGAGGAAGCCACATGAAGACGCAGAGTGACCGGACGAGGTGGACGACCTCGCCACCCTCGAAGTTCTAGATGAGGTGAGACAGTGTGACATCTAATGTAATGTAATAACTTTAGAAATCTCATCCAGTAAGCAATAATTCTAATAATATGTTAAATAGTGTGGCCGTGGGTAGCCTAGTGGTTAGTGTGCGTGCCATGTACGGAGGCTGTGGTCCTCTGGGTGGACGGCCGGGGATCAAATCCGACCTGTGGCTCCTTTCCCCGCATGTCAGTCCCCACTTCCTCATCGATGTCTGACTCTATCAACTGTCCTGCACACAATGGCTAAAAGCAATACATGAAAAAACATTGAAAAAGCAGCCATAAGCAAAGATGATGAAGTGTGTCCTAAATACTAAATGATGGGCAGCAGCAGATTTATGGTGCATATTAAAGATTCTTTTCCAATGTTAGGTGCATATAAAGTGCATCGTAACAGTCAGGAAGATAGCTTTTTTACACAGTACATTATTTTAAAGACATTTGACAGTTTGAAAGTATCTTTGGCAAAGCCATTTAAATACTCAAAAGGTCAGAAAGGTAAATTTTGTTGCTTCTCTGGCGCTTTTAATTTTGTTAAACAATTCTCTTCAGCAGAGAGTTTTAAAGCTAAGGTCCAAAGTGGATTATTTAGCTTATAAATAAAATGTACTTAAAATCTCAACGTTTGAGCCAACAGCTGTTCAGAAATAGGAACATGTGTACATCACAATTCACATATCTGAGAAATTGAGCAAACCTCATGTGCTGAGGAATATAACAGTGATCATTCTTGAAGCTATCTATTGGATTCATCAAAACCATTTAAGTGTTTATTGTGGAAACATTTCTGGGTACAAAATCTTGGAAATAAGCTTGCTCATCAAATGCAGCCACGCTCTGTTGAACACACAAAAAAAAGGATGTAATTTCTTTTATATACGCCACTGTTAACTAGAACGCCCTGCATCAATTTACCCGATCACTCCTGTGGTCTGTTGTACGACTACGGTGAGAAATCCGTCGCAACACTCCTCACACAAATAACATGAAGAGTAATTTATCAAATCCGAGCGCTGCACTGGTGTGTTGAATGATACGATCAGTCTCAGTTGCCAGCGGATATTTCCAGCCATCTTTCAAAACAACGGGCTCTGTTGGTATGAGCGAGGCAGAGCCGCCCCTGCTGTTGTTGATGTACCTGTCCTGGCGGCGAGAAGACGGGAGAATTAATCACCATATGAAATGGAGATAATACATTGACGTAACAGGCGCCACAGGCCTTGACTTGACGCCGGACGCACGCTAAAGTACCGCTTGTTTTCCTCCCATCATGCACCCCTGACAATCATTGAAGTGTTAATTTGTTCAGGAAGCCTTTTGTGTGACTCTTTAGTGGATCATGCATGTTTCTTTTTTCAGAACACAGTCACAGAGCAGCTTCAGAGCCGCTATGGAAGAGATCAGATTTACACGTACGTCGGAGACATCCTCATCGCAGTCAACCCTTTCCATAAGATGGAGATATACACTCCTCAGGTCTGTGGACTTATGGATTTCTCTGTTTTTCTTTTTTATGCACCTGTGCCTTTACATTGGGTCAATAATGCACTGAAAGTAGCCCAGCACGTCTCATTAGAGCCTCTGCAGTTCTTCAGTTGGATGCATCCCATTTAGCCTCGCCTTCCTCACACAAACACACACACACTGCACCTGTTTCTCTTCCTCTGCCATACCTCAATGACTTTGTTTTCAATCAATCATTATGCTTTTCTTGCCTCAAGTTAGCAGACATTTTTCATTCCTACCATCCAGCAGAATCTTAATGTGTGTTTGGGCACAATGTCTTATGGCAAGCAGTGTAAAGTTAAAAAAAAAAAACAACCTTTAAATACATGTTTTGTTTTATTCTATAACATTTAATTTTGTGTCTTGCAGTCACACGTATATTTAAATATGTCTTTTAATTCTCTACCTTTTCTTCTCTTCATAGTATACTAAGATATACATCGGGGCTAAGCGTTCTGCTAACCCTCCACACATCTTCGCTGTAGCTGATATCGCCTACCAGTCCATGGTGTCGTACAACGCAGACCAGGTCATTTAATCTACTTTTTTTTTAAAGTCATGTTGTTGTGATGCTGTTTTGCTGTTTGTTGAAATAAGATGTACTAGTTTATGAGCTTTCTTGTCTAGTGTTATTCAGTTTATAACCTCTACATTCATTATCCTCTGTACCTGTTTGTGTACAGTGTGTTGTGATCAGTGGAGAAAGTGGAGCTGGGAAAACAGAGAGCGCTCATCTGTTGGTGCAGCAGCTGACTGTTCTTGGGAAGGTGAGTCACTAAGTGTCATTAAGTGTCACATGATTAGCTTTTTATTCTCTACAAAGAACACAAAGGTCTCTCGCAGGTATACTAAAGGCGATTTAAACGTAAGGAAATAAAGTGAGCGGACTTTGCTGTCAAAAAAAACAAAAGCAAAAAAAATATGTCAAACCTTCAGGTGTTCGGATAATTGTGACTTAAGGTTATCATCATTGCAATGTTCATGATGTTGATCGTCCTTTTTTTAGAGGGAGCAAGTATGCATGGTACAGTATCAGCAGAGTAATGCCCAACTAGGTGTCCATTATTAGGAATTTATTGCTTCTAATGGGCACCTGGGGGGGCATTATCCTTTACTTAACTGTCAGGTTTAGAAGGTAAATGAAATCTTTGACTGACAGGGTGATAAAAATAATAATAAAAATCATTTTTGTATAGAAGTGTTTGAGACTAAAAGAACTACAGTGTTGAGCTGTGTGTATCTTCGCCTGCCACCTGTGCACCTCCAGCCAACTAAATTCAGAAAATCAATATGTTGAAATGCCCCGTCAAAGCAATTTCAAAATCCTCTACGCAGTCTGTTTGGCGCTCCAGCTGATGCCGGTGATGATTTACAGCTTGATCGAGTGGAAGAAAGTTCAGTGTCAATTTACTTCTTGCATTTTCTACAAGCGGAGGAAGGAAATTAGAAATGACAGTGTCACTTTTGAGGAGTAGAACACGAGTTATACCACGAGATGGAAATTTCTGCATCAATTCTTTCAAAAAGAATTGATGCTTCTGGGAGGATGGTAGCCTAGTGGTTAGTGCACACACCTCTTATATGCAGGCTATAGCCTTCAAGTGGGGGTCCTGGGATCGAATCTGACCTGTAGCATCTATCCAGCATGTCATTCACCCAGTTTTTATTTTCAGGCCAATAACCGGACGCTCCAAGAGAAGATCCTGCTGGTCAACAGCTTAGTCGAGGCTTTTGGGAACGCCTGCACCGTCATCAACGACAACTCCAGCCGCTTTGGAAAGTACCTGGAGATGAAGTTCACCTGTGGAGGAACTGTGGTCGGAGCGCAGATATCTGAGTACCTGTTGGAGAAATCCAGAGTCATCCACCAAGCTGTGTAAGTATCACATCCTGCCTCCCTTTTTTTTTTTTTTTTGTCTAAAGGAAGCAACCCCCATGACACTTCTTTCTGTCATGACCTTCATTTGACAAAAACATCCATATAAATTTAAATTACGTGTCCTAGAAGGTCACTTTTCCGCCTGCTGGCCAGGGATCAGTGTGTAATGGATTCTGTCTTTCTTCTTTTTCACTTTCACTTCCACATCTGAAACTGGTGATATTTGCCTCCAACCTGCACTCCACTCAATCCGTCTTCACTTCTTATCGTGTGTCTGGGGAGCGGAGCGGGTCAAGTGGAGGGGCTGGCTTTATTTCCTGCGTGATCAAAGATTGGTGTCTTGCAGATATCCTTAGTGGAACTTCAAAGGCAGACTCGAGTAATTTGCTAGAAAACAGACAGTCAGGGTCAGAGGGTTTGTTTGTCTCAAACATTGTGTGTAGCTGCACTTTCCCTGAGCTTGTTATAAGACATCGAATGCTGGAGGTTTACAAAGAAATAGCTTTTTTAGAATCCAAAAATAAGTTTGATTTAAGGAACATTTTGATTGCAGAATATTTAAAGGACTAAGCTCAGTTTCCCAAGCTTTCATCCTTATAAGTATTTTCAGTGTCTAACATTATACCAGTGTTTTCACTGACTGAGGACCGTGGAGACACTAAATCTAATATAAATGTAGTAAAGGGTTATATTACACAAGTCGGAAATCTAACAGATACATGCACAATAGCGATAAATATAGCTTTAAACTTCTTCTTTAACCACTGATGATTTGTCAACCCATACAATTTTCTTTGTTACGACCAATTGGAAGATAATTGGGGCGGAGTGCAACAGGAAGTAAACTGCTACCCTGTGCTTCAGGGGTAAAATTGTTCAATTCTTCTTCTTGAATTTGTGTCAAACCTTAAAATCCCAAACTGTGTCTTTGTGTGTTTCCACAGTGGGGAGAGGAACTTCCACATCTTCTATTACATTTACGCCGGCCTCGCTGACAGGAAGAAACTCGCCCACTACAAACTCTCCGACAGCAAAACACCTAAGTAGGTTTGACACCCCCTGCTCTTTTCTCTTGAACACAGTTATTGTCCGCTCACGCGGCAAACCTCCTGCCTCCCGGGACATCCGCCCCTGATCTTTGTGTTTCCTCTTTCATCTGCAGGTATTTGTGTAATGACCACATTAAACTTGGACCTGACATAGTGAGCAACAGCTTCTACAAGGAGCAGTTTGATGCGGTGGAGCAGTGTTTCAAAGTCATTGGATTCACCCTGGAGGTACAAACTGCATTAATTACTGGGAACAAAGCTGTGAGTGGCCTTCCCTCAAGCTTTTACAGCATAACCTTCATCCTAGCGCTCATGCAGACACACTCTCTCTCTCTCTCTCTCTCTCTCTCTCTCTCTCTCTCTCTCTCTCTCTCTTTTTGATACAAGTAAGAAAATCTGTGCACAACTAAGAGACAGCATGTAGACTGCAGTATGACACTAATCAGAAAGCGCTTAAAACACAAAATAAGCTTTAAAATGAGAGCAGATGTAGTTCCTCGTGTCCACTGTATGGCACGTGATGAAGCATGAAGCTACAGTACGGGCGCATGTAGGCAGTCAGCTGCTGGCAGTGTGAAGGCTAATGAGGCCCAAAGCACTGATTGCCTCTGGGATCCTCACGTCAATAGTACTTATCCTGTAATCACTTGGCAGTACTGGAGGAACAACCTACTTCTTATCTTACATAAAATCGAGGATTGTGTAAGGACAGGATCTTTGGGGCGTGCTTATTTTATTTTTATTTTCGGATATCAAAATGCTTTTGTAAGACTTGCTGGTTGACAGATATTGAAATGTATTCCTCAGATGACCGCTGGCATTAGTCTTCTTTATTCTTGCAAATCTTTTGTTGCTGATGCGAGGGATCACCTTTTGACCTCTTAAACCTTTTTTTCCACTATCAAACACATCATTTTTATTTAGCCAAGCTCTTTTCCTTTGAAGCTTTAAGTCATAACGTGGCTCATGCTAGCTCACAAGCTGTTTTTAAGTTTTTAAAGAATCCACTGTGGATGTGACAGAAAATAAAAAAAATCTCTCTCTTTCTAAAAGATCTTATCGGCCAAATGAAGTACAACAGACCGCTATGGTGAAGTGCTTGAACTGATTTATATTGGTGCATATTTATTTTTTATTAGTGTTTGGTTCATTTTGCTTTGTTCACAAGTTTGTATCTGATGATACTTAACAAACCCTTGTTTTTCAAAAGTGCTATGTTAAAATGTTTTGAATCTGAGGGTATAGAACAGGAAAAAAAGGAAAAATAAATGTGCAGAATTTATCAATAATATACTCCTTATATCTGTCCATTTATCTACAAATTTTAGGAAAAGGGTGCTAGAAAAGATTTAAGCAAGCTTATGTGACACCTACAATAACTTCACCCTGACTCTGTGCATTTATTATTAAGTTTTGGAACTGATGATTGACTCTCAGTGCTGGGATATAAAAAAATATTAAACAGTATAAAAGCACAACTGTACCTCTTAAATTTTCTATCTTGGTCAGTACAGAGAGCTGTAAGATGAACCTGAAGACGTTTGATATTAAAGTAATCTCATACTGTGTCCTTAGCTTCTAGCTTTTTCTAAATTGAATAGCTGTCTGTCATTTTTGCAGGAGCTGGGCAGCGTTTACAGCACTCTGGCTGCCATCCTCAACTCTGGTGATATTGAGTTTTCTCCGGTTGCCTCGGAGCATCAAACAGACAAGAGCATCATCTCCAACATTTCTGTCCTGGAGAACGGTGAGAGGAGAGAGAGAGAGAGAGGAGAGAGAGAGAGAGAGAGAGAGAGAGACAGGTTCTTTAGATGATAATATTAAACCACACAGGACTCTGAAATTCCTCTGATGCACTCTCACTCTTCACAACCCCTTTAAAACTTCTCTACATAAACAGCATTACACTAACATCATAAAGACACATGTAAAGTCTTCCTTTGGTTCAATATTTTCATAATTCAGAAAAGCAAGAAAGCATGAGTGTTGAGGTTCAACATTTGCTCTCCCTGCACTCATCCTACCTTATAAATATGAACTTTGGTCCCATTCCTTATCTTCTGTCTCCTCAGTGGCGTCCCTGCTGTGCATCCGCTCAGATGAGCTCCAGGAAGCCCTGACCTCCCACTGTGTTGTGGCCCGAGGGGAGACGATCGTCAGGCCCAACACGGTGGAGAAGGCGGGGGAGGTGAGGGACGCCATGGCCAAGGCACTCTACGGCCGCCTCTTCAGCTGGATCGTGAACCGCATCAACGCGCTGCTGAGACCCGATAGCAACCTGGGGTGAGATCAGGAGCAGGATAGTGTGTCGCGTTCGGCTGTCGTGAATGCAGAATGGGGTCGTCTGAGAAAGTCTGCATGGATAACAAAGTGTAGACTGTACATTTTACATCATTCTCAAAGTCAGAACTGCATTCAAATGAGCTGACTTTCCCAAACGTGTCGCCTCCAGAGAGGAGGACAAGGGCCTGAACATCGGCATCCTGGACATCTTTGGTTTCGAGAACTTCAAGAAGAACTCCTTTGAGCAGCTCTGCATCAACATCGCCAACGAGCAGATCCAGTTTTACTTCAACCAGCACATCTTCGCCTGGGAGCAGGTAAAAGCCTCTGACCGGCGTTCACCCTACCATACGACTTGTATTGAAGAACGAGAGGTTAAAGTCCTCCTGGAAAGCACTTGATATGCATCTTTCACCTTGGTACTACCTCATTTCCATCTAAATGGTGATAACATGTCATCATTTGTCACACTGCGTTTTAAGGGAGACGGCAAGGGTAAAATATGCTGCTGTCTTTATTTACTGGGGAACAAGGTCCGTGATTCTCCCTTTATGCAGTGTCGTGGGTGTGTTTTGCCTTGAGGGGGCAGAGAATGGTTTGCTCATGTTAAATGATTTGGTCTCACCCATGGAGAGGAGCTATAAATCATTCTAAACGAGGGTCAATTAGGAGTTGAAGACATTTTACGTTTGACTTAATCTCACTCTTGGGTATTATTGGCACCAGGCCCAGACATACATTTGTCCTATACTGCCTCCATATATTCAGAGCGTAGGGGGATTGACTAGAGCTGTGAGCTTCATAAAAGTCACATCTACAGTAAAAAGAAAAGCAGATTTAGCTCACTCTACTGTACGGTAAGGTTATATCTCTAACATGTGATTTCACACCTACACTTCTACGTTTCCTTATGAGTTTACACGTGCGGTTCTATTGTCCCGATCTGTCTGCATCCCTGCGGAGTTCCTAACAGGCTTGTTTCCTTCACAGCATGCAGCTCATGCTACGATAGGCACGTTGATTTGATGTTGTTTGTTCCCATTTGTTCTTTTCTTCTCAGAATAGAAGTGTGCAGTAATGCTGCTGAGTCATACTAGGAGCTCAAAGAGTCAGTCAACCTGATGTGATCAGGTTAGCTGAAAAAAAAAAAAAGGAGTGGAAAACAAGGCTCACTTTGCCTGTAGGCCACATTAATCCAAAGAAGGGTGGGAAGTCAGCGTGTGAACAAGGGTTATATAACACAGGGAAACAAATTCTGGCATACATTTTGGATTTTTATTGGTTGGCTGATCGTGATGTCAGTGTAATACCTCAACTGTAAAGACTTTCTGAACTTTCAAAGTCTTAAAACAGGAAGCTGAGTGAACAGACAATAAAATAGTTTAATTGAAAAATGTGATAGATTAGCATTAAAAATGAGTAAACACAATGGTGTGTGAGGCTGTTGCCCAATGAGGAAAGCCCTTGTATTAGTGGTACTATGAACTGGGAGTTGTTAGCGACATCCCCAGAAAAAAAAAAAACCTAAAAAAAAAATCCTGTGTGTGCAAAGCAGCGCACTTTCTTTGACTTGATGGTCAATTTGTCTCAGAATAAAGGACAACAATAAAGGTAATAAACGGATAAGGAAGTCTTGGTAAAAGTTTTAACTGTATTTAGACTTACATATAAAAGATAATTAATTTAACTATCTGTTAAAGTCATGTTTATATTCACAGTGTTTGGCGTTTCTGTACAGGATGAGTACCTGAACGAGGAGGTGGAGGCTCGGATGATCGAGTACGAGGACAACCGGCCTCTCCTGGACCTGTTCCTACAGAAACCCATGGGGATGCTCTCACTTCTGGACGAGGAGAGTCGCTTCCCACAGGCCACCGACCAGACACTCGTAGGTCTGTACTTTTGTTTTGGTTGGAACGTCTTGACACATTGAGGGTGGATTGGTACGAATCTGGTTCACACATTTATGCTCCTTTGACAACCTTTGAGCTGCTGAACAAAGTCCAATCCTTTTTCATAATGGTCAGAAACAGAAGTGAATGTTAAGCACTAGAGAGAACAGCATGTATTTAACTTTATACATGTACACAAACATTTGAGATAAGTTGATGTAATAAGGTGCTTCAGAGTAGTCGTTCTGAGTTGTACATGGAGCGATCACAGTGTTGTGTACTATTCAAATCATCACTTGAGAAATCTCTGAGTGGAACAAAATTTTTTCTGTTGAATATCTGCACGGTCTGATTCCTTCAGTGATCGTCTTCAAACGGTTTTCAATCAGGAGCTTAATATTCCAGGCGAATATCCTCTGGTTTCTGAGACAGTTAACGAATGAATAATTTAATGTTTTAGACAAATTCGACGATAACCTCAAGACAAAAAGCTTCTGGAGACCAAAGAGGGTCGACCTCGGCTTTGGCATCCACCACTACGCTGGAAAGGTAATATTCATCTGACTGTGATAACATACACAGACTTTTGAATTGAGACTCTGTTGGACTTCATTTGTCTTTGTTATCTCCCAAACTCTAAAGGTGATCTACAACGCCGCAGGCTTCTTAGCCAAGAACAGAGACATGCTCCCAGCCGACATCATCCTGCTGCTGAGGTCGTCAGAGAACGAGCTCACTCGCAAACTGGTCACCCATCCCCTCACCAAAACTGGTAAAATGGAACAAAACACTATTTCTCCCAGAAGCAAACAAAAATATTTTTTTTCTGCTACAACTTTCTAAACTGTTTACACACTACTCTAAATACATTGCACCACACATTCTTGGAGCCACAACAGGCCATTGTTACCTTTTTTAGTCAAAGGCTTTTCTCTCTTTTTTTTGATGTAATGGGTTTCTCTTGGCTGCCAGAGAATCCTTTGTTGGCAGAGCTGACTGCCAGCTCTGTCAAAAACAAATTACAAGAGCCAATAATTGCATAATCACTCTTAAAGTTCTCCTAAAGCTGTCGTACCAAGCGTTCCTGTTTCATTCTTTCATTCAACAGTGAATAACACAAAAAACAAAATGACCCCTGACCTCTTGTGGTATCTGCTTCGTTGAGTTTATTTAGGTTTTAACGTATCGACTGTTGAAGTTTTTACAGTTCTACGTCTAGGGTTGTCATGATACCACATTTTAAAATTCGGATTTGATTTTAAAATCAAATGGTATTCTTAGATGTTTCCATACAATAGCAACAAAAATACAAGTCCGAGGCCACCAATAGTAGGTTGTTCTCATTTTTATTCCCAAAAAATACACTTAGTCATCTACCCTGTCTGAATTCTACAAATACATTGGCAATGTTTAGTTACCAAAACATTTCCAATGAATTTTAACAATTTAGACAGCCCTCTCTGTCCAAAATATGACTGAGAATATAGATCTTTTTTTAATCTTTGGTACTTCTGGATACTATCAATCTTTAAAATAACTCAGATTGTATTGCTGTAAAACATAAAAATATTTAAAAAGTCCAGTTTCTGTGCACAAATCCTCCATGTATGGAAGCTAAGCAACCTGTCCTCCTGTTGAGTCTCTGCTAACTGCTTCTCATCCTCCCTTTATTTATTTCACAGGCAACCTTGCCCACACCAAGGGTAAAGGCATAAACACCTTGCGGACGCCGTCACGCACCATCACCTTCGCCAAGGTACTAAGAGCGCTCACTGCATTATCACTGTATTATCTTTTACATCATGAGCTTCCCCTGAGAAGCTGTTCCGTCTGTTTGTCTCTTCTTACTCGCACTACCAGAGCCTTCACACTTCAGCCTCTTTTGTGCTGTTTTCAGTGTAATTAAAACTTCTTCTGTTCTGATCTGTTTCTTTTGAACTCTTTGCTGCTCTCCATTTCTTCATTTCTTTTGGGAAAGATGGGAGTGCTGACCTTGTACAGTTCTTTTTCTTTCACTGAGGTAATACTCATAAATCCATATAGTGAGTGTTTAAATCAGTGCGTTGTTTACCAGTGTGGACGACATTTTTTCTCGTGGATTGTATTTCTTTTCCTCTAGAGCCTAATTAGATACAACATCATTCTGTACTGATCTTACAGAGCAACATTTCAAAACCTTATGGCTGTATTTACGCTCTACAGTGTAGCGGACAAGACAAGATTGCCCGTTCCTGCTGAAGGAAGCTTTCTGGCAGTTCGCTCTCCTAAAAGCAATCAACAGTAACAGCAACATTTAAATGCAGACTGTTTGATGAGTTCTTGAATCTATTTCCATTCATCTGCATATGTTAGACAAAAGCTCATCAAAGGAGCCGCTCTTAAGAGGCACGACGAGCGTTCAGAATGCTGTAAACAGTGTGAGGCTGATAGCTTAGCAAAAACTGGTTTCCCTCAGTGTACTGGTGCTTAGAATTAGATGTAGAGCTTGTTGACAGGTAAGGAGTATGTGCACGATGACGGTTGTAGTTGTATTTTATTAGAACCACATGGATGCAGCATCCATGTTGTCTTTAAGAAATCAAATACTCTAAATGTATGTAAGTATATTGATCTATACTGTGGTTATACTTGGTAGAAGTTGTCTACTTTTAAATTGAAAATCTCACTTCCTGAAGTAACAAATGTCTTACTTTGTTGTTGTTGTTGTTGTTGTTTTTACGCCTTGTCTGTAAAGCACTTTGGTCGGCTGAGGTTGTTTTAAACGTGCTATACAAATAAACTTGTCCTGACTTATACCTCAGGGTGAGACAGATTTCTTCAGACCTTAAACTTATTTGGCCCATTTTCTAATCCATTCTGTTGGTTTTGTGTTGCTGCCTTCTTGGGAATAAATCTCATTCCTGATAAAAACAAAAACAAACTAGCTTTGCCTGAAAGGCTGCACATGTTGATTAATGATCTCAAAAAGAAAGATACATAAAAAAAAGAAAGTAGTATGCAGAGTAACATGTCGTGAAAATATGGGCTTCATTATAGTTTTTAATCTGTGTTTCAGTCGACACAGTTTGTAATACTGTACATCACTGGTTCCCAAAGTGGGGGTTGGGACCCCAGGGGGTCGCCACCACCAAGACAGGGGTCGCGAGATGCCTGTCTTGGTGAAAATAAAAAATCATTAAAATTGCATTAGTATATATTTTTACCCATTTTTGTAAATATACAAAAAGTAGTCTAATGTCATATAAGATAGTATCATCAGTGAAATCAATGTGTACATTTTTTATTGTTTTTAGGCTGTTGTATTATTCTGTGTTAGTAGTTTTTGGATAGGTTTATTAGTGTGTGCGTGGCTGTCGCTACATTATATACTTAACTAACCACCTTGAAGAACAGTGGGGGGTTCCCCCAGTTTCTGTCACCCTTATTTTGGGGGTCACGACCTGAAAAGTTTGGTAACCCCTGCTGTACATTACCTTGAGGTCAGTTTCCTCATTTCTCCTTCCCACTTGGCTTCACTAACCTTCTGTCCTAACATCTATTGTACTCACATGTTCCCTTGCAGTAGAGACTTACCAGTCAGCCTAACTTTGATTGTTCTGAAACGAAGAGCACTAATGAACGTTGCTATTATTGATTTTTCATGTTTTGTTTCCGTTTGTTCAGCCGGGTGATCCTGGAGACACGCCGTACCATCCAAGAGAAACCACCAACATGAGAACGCAGACAGTGGCGTCCTACTTCAGAGTGAGTCGTTGTTTCTCTTAAGTCATGTTGTGAGATTTGTCTTTTACCTCCGACATCCTTCTGAACAACTTTCCAACATGAACCTGTAACAAATCTGCCTAATGGGTTCTCCAGTACTCTCTGATGGATCTGCTGTCCAAGATGGTGGCCGGGCAGCCTCACTTCGTCCGCTGTATCAAACCAAACAACGACCGCCACGCCAACAAGTTTGACCGGGAGAAGGTTCTGGTTCAGCTGCGATATACCGGAGTCCTGGAGACGGCAAAGATCAGACGACAGGGCTACTCCCACCGCATCCTGTTTGCTAACTTCATTAAGAGGTCAGCAGACTCTCAACTCTCCCTGGGTTTATTCAGGAAGAAATTATTATGTATTATTGTTCATTTATATCATTTTCCAGCTGACTAAACTTCTTGTTGCAGGTACTACATTTTGGCTTTCCATGCTCACGAGGAGCCAGACGTCACTCCAGAAACATGTGCTGCAATACTGGAGAAAGCCAAGCTGGAGAACTCGGCGATGGGGAAGACAAAGGTAGGAAGAGATGTTCTTTGTAACTCGCTCTATGCACACTCGTTCACTTTCAAGGGCTCTTGGTTACAGGTATTTTTAGGGACACTAGTGGACATTTCCAAGAGTTTTTAGAGCGTAAGATGTACTCGTCCTTCTGCCGATTCTGACCTAACAATGAATAATGATGCTTCACCTCGTCTTTTCAAGTGCAACCAACAGGTCTACTGCTCCAAACATGCTGCACTTTAGGCTTAAATAGTTTTAGTTTTGTTCTATCTTGTGCACTTTAGTGTTTTTAAGTTTTTTTTAAGGCTTATACCCTTTTATAATGATTTACAGATTTACTCCAAACAATATTTCATACTTGGTTAGGATGGGACAAATATCAATATGAATATTATATCATCATTCTGACTTGTTGTGTGACACAATTATCAAAACTGTAGTGCCACATAAGCAAATCTTTTTTCTTTTTTTTGTAAATATGGTGCTCTAAACTAGGGGTGTTCCTAGGCGACTGATTTCCCATGTACAGAGGCTGTACTGTAGTCCTCGTAGCGGACGTCCATGTTTTCATTAACTTGTAATCCTGATCCTGTTGAAGAGATAGACAAAAAAGATTCAATAAGGTGATCAGCACAGTTTTCCTTGTGTCCCTACTTTCAGGTGTTCCTTAAGTACTACCACGTTGAACATCTGAACCTGATGGTGCAGCAGGCCACACAGCGGATTGTCCTGCTGCAGGCCTACGTCAGAGGCTGGCTGGGGGCAAAGCGATACCGACGGATCTTAAAAGAGCGACAACAAAGTGCTCTGGTGCTGCAGTCAGGTTTGCAAACTTAGCCAGAACATGTACAAGTAAAGAAGCTGGTATTCGGTTTTCCTTGCCAAATACTAACTTACTTCTTGTCCACACTTTTCAGCTTACAGAGGTCATAAAGCTCGGAAGAAGGTGAATGACGACAAAAGCAAAGCAAAGTTTGAGGCCGTCATTATTCAGTTTCAGGCTGGTAAGAATATAAGAGATGCTAACAGTTGCACAACATATTTGTAGTTTGGTTTGTGCTTACTTGATTAACGTTTCCCTTGTCATCTTCAGTCTGCAGGGGCTACCTTGCAAAAAAGAAATACAAGGAGTTGGTGGATGAAAAGAACAATGCTGCAACCAAGATCCAGGCCCGCTTCAGAGGGCACAAGGAGAGGAAGAATTTCAAAGGAAAAAGGTACAAGATAGAGGAACTTCACTTAATATGGCATCCAAAAAATATAACACTTGTTGTTGTTTTTTTTCACTTAGCTGTTACAATTTTGTTCGCAGGGAAGCCAAAGAGAAAGAAAAAGCAGAGAAGGCCGTCGAAGAAAAAGAGCAAGCGACTCCTGCACCAGAGAAGACCCCTGATGAAGCAGATTCCCCGACTTCAAGCGATGAAGCAAACAACGAGGAAGAGGAAACCAAGGCTGCCGTGGTTCTCCAGAGTAACTTCAGGGGCTACAAAGAGAGAAAAAAGTTTAAGGAAAGAAAAAAGGCAGAGACTGAATCAGAGGTTCAACAGAATGCAGTGATGGAAAATCAAGTTGAGACAGAACCTACAAGCAATGACGAGAGCGGGGAAAAGACAGGTGATAACAAAGAGGAGAACGATGAAGATGAGAGTACATATGAAGCAGAGGAGAATTTCGACAGCGATGACACAGAGGTGCCAGATGATGAAGAACATACGGAAGTGGACGAAGACGCACCGATTGAGGACGCAGTGGCAGCAGATGTCTGGCAAGAAGAGCAGGAGAACAAGTTGCAGAATGGACAGGAAGAGTCAGTCACCATGGAAGAAGAAACCAAGGCTGCCACTGTTCTGCAGAGTAACTTCAGAGGTCACAAAGAGAGGAAGAGGTTGCAGGAAGAAGGGAAGATCCCTGCTAAGAATCAGAAAGCGAAAAGTCCTGAGAGAGAAGCTGTTTCTTCAAGTGATGTCAAAACAGAAGATCAAGACGAAGCCAAAGCAGCAGTGGTACTCCAGAGCAACTTCAGAGGCCACAAGGAGCGCAAACGACTCGAGGAGGAAGGAAAGATCCCCAAAAAGAGGAAGAAGGAGGTACAAAAACCAGTGCCAGAAGCAGCACCTGAGGAGGAGAAAGCTGCGACCGTCCTGCAGAGTAACTTCAGAGGCCATCGAGAGCGCAAAAAAATGAAAGCAGAGAGAGAAGCTAAACATAAAGCGAAGGAAGAGGTTGATTATGACATGGCAGAGGAGGCAACGGAGGACACTGTGGATATATCTGATGTGGTGATCGAACGTAAAGATGAGACGGATGCTGAAAAGGAAGGCTCGAGGAAGAGCAGGCCGCTGTGAAAATCCAGAGCAACTTCCGAGGTTATAAAGACAGAAAGAACCTGAAGGCCAACAAGCAATCAGCAAAGACAGAAGCTGCTCAGCTAGACAGCTTTTCCACAGAGGTAATGTTTTAATATGCCGCAAATGAACCTCTCCAAGTCATTCTTTCTCCGCTCATCTTTTCTTCATTACATCTTTTCAACAGATCACAAAGGTTTCCCAGGACTTCGTGGCCCTGCAGCACAAGTTGAATGAAATCATCGAGGCCCATCAATCGAACCCCGAGAAGAACGGCATGTTTGTGAGAGGAAAAACAATGAACGGCCATGCTAACCAGAACAACCAATCAAGTGAGTTCATTGTGATTTACTCTGGGACAAACAGAATGTGAAGTATAATGATTGCACCACTGACTGCATGTGAAGGTGGACGACATGTCTCAACATGAGCTACAGTAGTTGTACAAAAGTAAAGCCAAAATACCCCCCGCGACATGCGCTCACATTTAACACTGGAGAAGACATTTGGAGCCAGAGTTGTGCATCCAGCCCCTTCAGCTAATCAAAACACATTTAACTTACCAATAGAACAACAAAAATCCCTCAGGTTGGTACAGTCCATAGATTTGTGCAGACACTGACGGTTATGAAAATTTCACTGACTCTTGAGTTTGTATTTGTCACATTTCCTGCACACGGAGCCGCAGGAGCAGCATCTTTCAACAGAGCGGTCAATCTTGGTGTTGTACTTCATTTTAAGCATCAAATAACAAAATAAAACCGAACACTTCACTGAAAATTCGCACTAAGGCATAAAAACAGTATGGCAAGAACTGATTTTAATGTCAGAAACCATGTTTGAGAAGAAACATTTTGACCCACATCCCATATGTTAACATGAAGGAGTGTACGTTATCGCCTATACTGCAGCCAGTCAGTAGGGGGAGCTCTAAATGTTTTGACTTCGCGTTTGGGTAGCTGGTATGTTGATCATCTTTTGGTGCAGTCCATGGTTTGCACTGATTGACCAGAGGTTAATGTGTAGACCAGCTGAGAAAGATTGACAGGATCATATCTATCTTTCTGGCATCTTTTGTGAACTTTTTCCTCACAGACACAAAACTAAATGAAGTGTCTGTGAGAGAGCCGCGGTGTCTCTCCCTCAACACTAAAAATAAACACCAAGTTCCAGCTGTGTTTATAAATATCCAGGATTCATTTTTCTAAAGGTGTGTTTGCTTGTGTCAGCTGCTTCCACACTTTCCTTCTCCTTCTGAATATAAAAAATGATTTTTATTACAGTCGCCTCGCAGGAGACAGAGATGTTATCGACGACGCCGCTCTCTTGTCTCTCGTGGGCGTGATTAGATCAGGAAACCTGGGAAAGTCAAGTGGCAAAACAGGAAGCGCTTCTCTTCCAAATGTGTCATCAAAAGTAAAATTTGATTTGTACAGGTGATAGGTGTAATTGCTTTCAGGACGGTGAGTGGAAGGGGGGGGGCGGCGGCTAATTGAAAGTTCACTGCTTTGCAAAATGGAGCTGGCAGCTAAAATGTCAACGCTGTCAAGCATGAAAATAATGTAATAACAATATAATAATGACAATGATTACATTTCCTTTGCTGACATCATGATTATTCCACCATTCATTGTGGACTTTTTTGGAGTTTTCATGCAAAGAATTAGGTGTCTCTATGAATTTGTAAATGCACTGATTTATATGAGCCTGATTCTCACTAGTTAAACTTAAGGGGTTTGACATGATTTGTATAAAGCTGGCTCATATATTAGCTCAGTTCAAATATATACTGATAAAATATGATGTTCAGTGCCATTGCAGAGATAGATAAACTTTATTGTCTGTCCCAACAGTGACAGAAATTCTCCTTTGACAAGGCTCAAACGTTAAAAAAAAATCACAAACAACCATAATATGCTGTTGCGGCTCCAAAACTATGGCACGATATACCTCAGAACGTTAAACAGGCCTCTTCTCTGCCTGTTTTTAAATCTCTTCTTAAGACCCATCTCTTTTCCCTGGCCTTTGACACACAATTAGACGTCGACTTATTTATTTATTTTATTTATTTTTTGCGTGCCTATTCATTTTACTTTTAAATTGATTCTGTATTTCACATGTAGTTTTCTTTTATCTCATGTGAGCTGTTACGTATTTTATTTATTCTTCTGTACAGCACTTTGGTGAACTGTGGTTGTTTTAAAGTGCTTAACAAAAGAAGTTGGACTGGATTGAATAATGTGATTTGTGGAGTAATTGAAGTGTTAATAAGACATCTTTACAGGAGCTCCTTGGATCATATTGAGCAGAGCCAGGCTACCTATTTCCTCTGATTCCTTTTTAAGTTAAGCTAAGCTCCCTGGTTGTTCACTTCTTACATGCAGGTCTTTTCTGTATCTACTACTATCTGTATTTTTTTTCATGAAATATATTCCTAAAGCTGACATTTTACTCCCATTACTTCACTTGTTCAGTTTCCTAGGGGTACAGTGTTTCTTTAAATGTGGGCATGTTTGACCTTTACAAGCTTTTCTTCTGCACAGCACATCGCCTGAGGTAAAGCAGAATGAATTATCTGTGTTTCTTCCAGTGGCTGCTGCAACTCCCTACAATGTACAATTTTTTTACAGCCCCCACTAGGTCATTTCTCCAGTGACAGAGCCGAGCTGTCCTCATGCATTTTTAGTGACATAATAAACTTCATAAGAATAATTTGGGACACACAATTTAGGCAGAGCGGTGCCAGTCACACCGCTCTTCATGGGAAAAGGTCATCAAATGTTAATCACGTTTTGTGAGAAAGCGTTTCCAACAATTATGGCAGGAATTAATCAGAGGCTGTGTGAAATTGGCTCTACTTGTTTGAACAAAACACAATGACCTTTAGATGAAGTTGTTCAATAATATTACAAACTTTTCACCTGCGAGCTCGTGCACATGATGGATTGTTTTTTTCTGGATGTTTTCTCCTTGCATGAACAGTGATTGATAACGAGCAACAAGCAAAGGTCATTGTAATATGTTCATAATTGTTGTATCAAATGTTCAAGGAGGGACAGTGTAGCATTATATCAGGCATGACAGATATGATAAATCACAACACATGCTCTACAGTAGGGAAGATGTGATGCATGATAAGCCCCGCTGCACACAAACACAGGTCTCTCTTACTGTTCAATACAGTGCAGGGAATCGAACATGGATCGTCACAAAGTTAAAGGTCGCTTTAAGCGTGTCAAAGGTCGTTTCACGCAATCTCTGTTGGAAAAATTCGCATTGGTTCAAGGCCTTCGGGTTAAACTGGAGTGTGTATAGAAAACAGTTCAATAAGCACAGCAGAGTCAAGGGTCAGCATGGAGTCTGATAACAATCAACAGTCTCTATTGTGAACCAACCAACAATATGCCCGCTGTTTGATTTAAAGGATCAATCAAGCAACAATGACAGTGTACGTGTAATACTCACCATTCTGTTTCTGTAGGTGCAATCTAGGGACACATCTACGATCATCGTCTGTTACCGTCTGATAGTCGAGATATACCTCTGGGAATGGAGGCCAGTTAGAATTAAATGACTTCTAGCCAAGACTATCCGTGTGCCGTTTATGTCTGCGCTGTTAACACCGTCATTTCTTGGTCCATTTCATCCCTGGAGTACTGCCTGTTCATCTGTCTGTTGTGAGTCTCAGTTCAACTTGAGAATAAAACTCAAACAGCGGCTTCACTCTGGATTACTTTAACTGTATGAGCATGTACTTGACTAACGGGTCTTAAGTTTGCTGAAATCACATCATGATGCAGACAACAAAAGTCCTTCAGCTCAGACATGTGATCATCATTCTCATCAATACGATAAAAGGTGGTAACCATGGAGAAATCCATCACAGGAAAGGTCGAAGAACAATCGTCCCCTTCATAACATTAGAAAGACTGATATTAAGACCTCAGTATAAATATCCACAAATGCACCATTAATCGACAGCTTCACTTTCAAATCTTGTGTAAAAAAAAAAAACGTATTAAAATGCATTCTGGGAAATGTAGGAAATGAGAAGATACAGATTATGAGTATGTTCTTCTATGTGTTTAAAACAATGAAGAGAATATTGCATCTATTGATGATATAAAGTGTGTTAAAAGTTCATTCTTCCTTATAAGAACATTACTTTTAACGCTCTTTGTTTCTTTTCAGCTGATAAGAGAATGTCTCGGACCCCCCGCAGGACCCAGCAGCCAAAGACCCTCAACACCCCGGAGGACTCCACCTATTACAACTTAATCCATGTGAGTGATAGAAAAAAAGTTTGATTCTTTCTACAACAAAGCGTTGCCTTCAGCCGCTGTGGGACACTGTAACTACGTCCCCACATATTGTCTTTCACAATGCTCTATTGATTGGCAACTTTTCTCTTTCTCTTGTTCTCTTAACTACAAATGTTCCCCTGGCAGCCAATAACAAAGCTGTCGAGAAACGTATGTTCCAGAGTTTCTTTAGCGCATTTGACAAATAACAATTTCCTTGACAAGTTTGTTTTTCTGTGTGATAAAGGCAGCTCCTGTGTTATTCTGGCTGACTGTGATGTTGGATTTTATTCAGTCAACAATAGCTCAGGGCAAAGCTGCTCATTCTGAGGAACTTGAGTGATTTTTAATAGAAAAACTGGAGCTACAGTTAATGCATCTAATAATTATTACCAATAATGAAGACCAGGCATTTATAGGTTTAATGCGTTGTAACAATATTATTTAAAAAAAAAAAACATTTTCTGAATCATTTTAAAGAGGTCATATTCTGCCCTTTTTGGGGTTCATATATTTAATCTATGTACCTACTAAAGTATGTTCACAATAGCTAAAGTTCTAAAAAAGTGTCTGTTTTCATGTCCTGCCGCTCCACGCACCGGCTCTCTTCTGACTCTCTCTCTAAGGCTCTGAAGTGCCCACGTTCAGAGTCCACGTGTGCCAAGTCTGGTCTGATTGGTCGGCAGTCGCTCAGCACGGTTTTCGGAAATGTCACGCCCCTTTTACCATATTGGGAATGCAGCCACTTTGGCTCCGAGGGCCGGGGAGCAGAAACATTAGCACCTTAGCACTACTGTGCTACCGCAGGCTACGGCATATCGTGGGCGTGCTACAGAAGTTAATGGGCGTGTAACATGAGCTGCTCGACTTGCCACAACGAGCCAATGGGCTTATGACGATACTAAATATGTTGATAACTATGACGTCAACATGTATAACAGTAAAGAGTTGACTACCTTTATTTATAATGATTACCATGGTCATAAACAAAAGTATTAAACAATCCCAACATTGACCTGATGTTGGCGATAAAGGAAATGTTATCACCAAAAGTTAGCATCAAATATTCAGAGTACATCCCCAGGGTGACATTCATTTGTCAATGTTTGCAACAATTCATCAAAAAGTTGTTGAGATATTTTACTTGAATCAGCAGATGTCCTCACTTGGGCACTTCAGGAGAAGTCAGGGGATCACCTCAGTCACGAGGACTCATGAATGTTGGTTCAGATTTGTTTGTCGATCACTCGAATAGTTGTTGTGAAATTTCTCTCTGGGCTGATGTGTGGAAGAACTCATTTCAATCCCTCTCTCTATTCAGCTAGCACGGCTAAATGAATCTTTGGCTTACTGGTCACAATTTGTAAACCTTGAACCATTTGCTTTGTATTCTTGAGTTGAAATATAAACCACAAGATTTGAACCCACTTCTTCTTCTTCTATAAAGCACTTTCTTTTACCCGAGCAGAGATATCAGGAGTGTTTGATTGACGTGTAGTAATCTGTGCTCTGTCTTTCTCCATGCAGCGGTCTGTCCAGGACGATAAACGAAAGCCCAGGAAAGAGGAGTAAGTGGCCGGTTTCTTATTTCAAGCTAACTTTAACAACCTCTCACTGCTATTTAAAGAGGTTGGCGTGCTGCCTGCTGGCTGTGCACACCGGGTCCAGAGTAATGACTGCAGCCCAGCGCCGACATAAGGACAGTGTCTGGGACCGAACTTAATGATCTGCAGGATCACACACATCCTCTGTGAAATTAATTAGCCTCATCTTTCACACTGGTTACGTTTGCTCAATGTACTCAGTGAAACTTAATGTAAGGCATCAGAATATTTGATATCGAGGTTTATTTTAAACATTGGATGTAACTACAGATTAGAGCTTTGCTAAAATAGAAAAGTGTGAGGGGATGTGTGCATTCATGCATCAGTATATGCGGTCACAAGGTGAGCGTATACCAACCATAGTGAAGTGGGTGAAGATAGACTGAGAGGTGGGCTGGCTGAACAAGAAGAAAGCAGGGTACTTAATCACAGCAAGTCTGAAGACACACACACTGAAACACACACTCAGAACGTAAAACATCAAGGGTAATAATTTGTTAGCAGATAAATAAAGCCAGCGACGGACAGGACCAGTTTACATGCATCATTAAGGATGAGAAGGTCATGCAGGAAAGATGGCATCTCGTGCTGAAGCTGACAGCCGGGGTGGATGGGAGACGGGAGAGCGTGGGCGGTAAGACGAGTGGAACCTGAAGAGTAGACAAAGGTGATGATAGTAGTTCAGAGTAAGGAGTACAAAAGGTGGAATTAGAAAGCAGAGTTAAACAGGACTAGTGATTTGTGCCAAAAATATCTATATTCTATTGCTGATATTAAAGCACTGATCCATCACGTCTGTATTATACCCCTTATCTAAACATTTTACGTAATAGTCCTACGAGCAATGTCATAAAATCTTTCATGTTTGCCATTTTCAACCTTTGATGTAAATGTCATTCCTTTGGACATTGCCGTCCTCTTTACAGCAGAAACTGATGTCTTATCTTCTGATAGCAGCTTCAGCAGTTTGCTGAAAATAAAAACGGAAGAAAAAAAAAAACAAGTCGGTCAGCGTGAGCAGTGAACCAAGAGATGATCCGGCCTCTGGACCAAACCTCGAACACTTAAAGGGCTGAGCTGATTCTGAGTGGCTGAACAAAACCCGCAGAAAATAAAAGAGCAACGACAGATTGCAGAAACGAAATCTCAGATCAGTGTAATGAAAAGCAGAAATAATAGCATGCATGTTTTCCATATTCAATTTTAGTGTACGCATGCAGGTATCATAAACTATCCTGTGTCTCATTGGCTCTTTATTGAGGACACCAGGGCAGTGTTAACTTCTATGTTGGTTGACAAAATTACAGCATCAGTGTCACACTCATTTCCCAAGGTTACCTCCAGGGGGAACATAAATGTTTTAACCAAATTAAACAACCATCTGTCCTGAAGTTGTTTAGATATTTCACCCTAAACCACAAATATCAACATCATAGTGGCACAAGTTGATAAGGCTGAACATCACTAAAATCATTTAGATATATTCAAGAAAACATTCTCAAGGTTCAAATCCATCCAGAAGTTTTAAATATTTTGTGATTCTATGAGAGCGTTGACCTCCAAGTTGTAGGTGTTAAGATAAAATATCTTGGTATTGTGCTCCAACCTTTATTAAACAAGTTTTCATTGTTGATCCAGAGCTACGACTAAAAAGTTCAATGTCATCGAGGTTTTGCCCTTTTACATATTCGTATCACATAATTCATAGAGCAGGGAGATGATTAGAGTCGGGGGTAAATCTTCACTTCAGCCTGAGAACAACACATTCATCAGGACTCATCAGCAGGATGATTGTGTACGTCTGCGGTTATGAGGTTAGGTCAAGCCACAGAATCACCAAAAGTGTTAGATCATCACGGTTTACAGGACCTCCGTGTGTACTCCAGCCAAGAAGACACTGATTTCCAATAGCAGTCTCTCTGCAATCTGTGAACAGCGTGTGGAACTTATTGACCTGCGCATGGAAATTCTCTTCTTCACACGTCTGTTGATGTAAAGGTCAGAGCAGGTTCAGCTTCAGAGCAGCAGACTGAGTGCTGCTGATGGTCGGCTTACAGTCGGGTGGGCAGAAGCTTTCAGACTGTGGGCTGGATAATCACGCTCTATTTGCACCTTTCCTCGGTTATATACAGGGGTGGAATGTAACTAAGTACTCAAGTAGGAATTATAGAGATGTTTCTCCTGTATTGGCATTTTATTTAGCAATATCACACAAGAGAGATCGTGATGGTTTAGGAGCCAAATTTAGTTTATCTTACAACAGGTTCCTAAGACGCTGACTAGACTCTTCTCCTCTGTCGCCCCCCGGTGGTGGAATGAACTTCCAAACTCCATTCGATCTGCAGAGTTCCTCTTCACCTTTAAGAAAAAGCTAAAGACCCAGCTCTTTCATGAATACCTACTAACTTAATGATGATGGTCTCCATATTATTGATGATGGATGGTGACGATGGTTTTTGTTTGATAACGACGACTTATAAGATGGTTTCTATACTGATTAGAGCTCTCAAGAACTGCCCTCAATGTTGTGCTTTGCCTCTGGTCACTTCCTGTCAGCACCTGTGTGTCCAATCAGACTCAAAGCTGATCGTTTGCTCTTACTGACATTGTTCCCTTTTTTCTAGATCCTTGCTTGTGTTGTTCTTACTCTCTGATGTACGTCGCTTTGGATAAAAGCGTCTGCTAAGTGAATTGTAGAATTGTAGAATCTTACCCAATCACTGAATTGTATTGTTTGGGATTTACAGTGGGTGTCCCAATCCTGCTAGAATAAAGGTTTAAATAATAATAAGATGACTGAGTAGATAAGGTGTGTGATCCCAGAAGGGAAAGTGTTTTTTGAGTTTCTTAGGTTGTGATTTTGGCCTGGTTGTCATGGTTACGGGCTTTTATTCACACCATTGTACTGGTGTGTGGAACTGCAAACTACAGCAAAGCCCAGCAGCCGGGTCACTCCTCGGTTAGACTTTTCTCCTTTAACAGATGAACTGAACTGGGATTACTGGGATTCAGTCATAGGAGCGAGGCAACAGATAAACACGATGTGTGTGATATTCAGTACGACAGCAACACAGCAGTTATACAATGCCTCCTATATAATCAGGTTACTTGTTCAGAACTACCTGAAAACTTAAAAACCTTAGGCACAAACGTTGTACTTTTTACTTCACTACATTTGTCTTGACAGTTTCACATTTCAGACCCTCCCTGTTCAGTGACAAACATGTTCTCCTATTTCCAATTTGCAGCCCCATGACTTGTTTATAGAATAAAACTAATTTCATGTCCAGGAAATAGAAATAGAAATGGTCTGTAGGAGGAGGAGAGTCTGAATAAAACCTTTTGTCTCCTGCGCTGTAAGAACTAAACAACCTGAATGCATCAGTGGGTTTTTTTAAATGTCTCCTTTATCTCCAGAAGTCCAATTATACATTTCTTCTCTTCTCTTTTCTTTTTTTTTTTTTGTTAATTTGATCTATAAGTTAAGGCAACTGTTCATTAAATTCTCTGTGGGGGTGTGATGCTCTGAGGTGCATGTAGGTGTAATGAAGCTATTAAAACCACTTCCTGAGGTATGAAACTTTCACTTTTGTGTTCACAATATGATTACTCATAACAACAACATTAAAAAGAATGATGATTAAACACAGAGGAGATACTCAGTTTGCTCAACATCTCTCAAGGGGACATCACACTGGATGGTTTTTTTTGTTATAAGATGGTTCAGTTCAGACCAAGATTTGGTTTTCTTGATTTTATGTGAACCGGGTCCTTAATGTCTATTTGACACCATCTCTATCATTTTAACATCCACCCCTCCTCCCGTCCTGTTTATGCTCCAGTCCAGGGAAGCTGCTGGATGTGGACGACCAGTACTACAGAGAACTGTCCACCAGCAGGTCTGAGCCGTCCCTCCCCACAGAGTACGCGTCCCCCAGCACCACGCCAGAGAGACGGATGTCCGTAGAGAGGAGAAAGTCAATGGACAGGAGGAGGTCCATGGACAGGAGACATTCTTCTGTAGCCAGCAGGCAGCCCCGAGAGCGTGCCGTCACCGAACCACGACCTCCAAAGCGTGCAAATGACAACAGGTTTGTCCCTGTCTGCTGTGTCCTTGATTCAAACGTGTTGTACTGTAAAGCTAAAAGAAAAGAGGATGAAGTCAGAGAAAGAGATTCATATATTTCACCTCTTTGTATACAGTACCAACTTTATGAATCCTGTTATATTGTCCACCAACAAATACATGAATCTTTAACCGTTTTCTCCCATAGCTCACTGCTCAGAACGCAGTTATTAATTACTAATATGGTGATGTTAACGACAAATCTGACACAGTGATTCAATATCTGCTTCTTTAATTCCTTTCAAATGAGCAGTGAGTTAATTTCCTGTTTTGGAGGCCTGATAGTGTACATGAAGATTGTGTAGCCTCTCAAGAAGGCAAATATTAGCTGACACTGAAATTCACATGACAACATTTGTTTTTAGTTTTTATTAAGTTTTTATCCACCACACTTCATGGTGTACATAAGGAACTCATTATGTGTCAGCACAAGGAGCAGATCAAGGTTTTTAATGGGCTCTGTTATCCTTCTCCTGCTGTCCTCTAATTTACTGTTTATTATACAGAGAATATAATAAAATGTTCTTTCATATCGTACATCTGTAGGGAAATTCCTCCTCAAAGTACAGAAAAAGCGATGCTGTGAAAATCTCCATTTCGACTTCAGTGACTGAACTAGTTTCCCTCAGTCATTTATCTGTGTGTTTACAAGCAAACACTAATAGCAGGAGTGCAAATCCTGAGTCATTAACAAGCACTTCAGTTCATCGAAGAGACAGCATAGACGGAGATTAATCCCCACAATAATCCAGTTAACATTACACAAGATTAGAGGAGAACATTTGCCCTCTCAAAGAAAATAGTGTTTTCATTTTCAGAATCAAATTCTTAAGGATGCAAATTAAAGACAGCAGATGGATTAAACGACTCTGCCTCTTTAAGTGTTCAGTAAGGACTGTGTGTGTCCTATGAGTAGTTTTCACTATAAACAGCCTTCAAACAACTTTGTTTAGAAAGTTTAGAAAATGCTTATTTTTAACTATTTTTTTCAAGGTGCACAAACTACACCATCTCTCATGTGAGTAAAAAATCAATATTTTATATGAAACACTAACATCATCTTATTTGATGTCTCCTGGAGGCTCACACAAGACGCAGGTAATCCTGGAGCAAGATCGAGCCACATTTTATAAACAAAAACAAGACTTTGTTGTTGTTGTTTTTCCCGCTCTGCTCTAATCCTAAAGTTTTATGAAGGTTATGAAGTTAGCTGTTCATAACTTATTGTAGCTGCTCACTTGCTTCTAAAGAAGAGGCTGATTGTTTTTCTTGCTTTAAAAAAAAAAAAAGATGACTGGCACTCCTGATAAAAAAAAAAAAAAAATCACCTTCAGAAGGACCTACAGAAAGAATGGTTCACATGTACGGTCAACAAAGTGACCGTCAACTTAGCGGTTAGGTCTCGTCATGTATGGAGGCGTAGTCCTCTGTGGATTCGTTCCTCCAAGTCCTACCCCAGTCTCTCTTCTGATTTTGTGCTCTATCCACTGTCCTGTCAAAACAACAGCTTCACTTTTCCTCTTTCAGAAGCTCTACAACTCCTGGGTGTGAGATTTCTTTAAGTTTAGAAGAAGAAAACAGAGCCCCCCCCCTTGGGTGTTTTGTATTCAGCTCAGTCAGAGGGCATATAGGGACAAATCCACGTACAGATCTCATCTGTTTTCCTGCACAGTCACCGTCTCGGACAGCACACGCAGATGATGAACGATTTCCTGAAGATGATGAACAATATGAAATCTTTTCAGCTCTTCTCTCTCTTGTTCTGTTTTTTTTTTTTCTTCTTCTTTGTGTTAAATTCCATTCGTCTCCCATATTGTTTCGACAGGCGCTCTGTTCCCAGAATGCCCTCCACCGAGAGTCATGCTGAGGAGAACCCGTACGACTTCAGACACCTACTGAGGAAGACCTCCCAGAGACGAAGGCTCATCAAACACTACTGAACACATGACTTTTTTTAAGCCGTTTGGCACACAGTCCATCCAGATCTGTATATTTATGAGTATGTGTTTCATCACAACTGTTTAGCTAATGACTAGAACGTCTGACTGCTTGATCATCCATCACCACCAGTCTTATTCATCTACATGCAGCTTAGACAGGATGACGCTTTATGTAAATAATAAACACCTTTAACACTGGCTGTAAATTAAGGTTTTATTTATGTAGCTTGTAAAGTAGACTATGCTCATTTTGCTGCATCAGTTTCCGGCTTGGCTTGAATTCATCCATAAACATTTCAACATGAAACAACATTGTATAAAATATCTATAGATCATGTAAATAAAAAAAGCCATGCTCTTACACATGAATACTTTGTATTTCCATTATTGTTTCGAGTGTTGTGATCTTGTAAGAAGTTGAAATTCCCTTTTTTATTTTCTATAAAACAAAAGATTTTTCTACTTTGTTGTTATTTTTTAACCAAGCTGAGCAGCCACAATGAAGAATTAGTAATTTAAGATGTTTTTTTTATTATATTAGGCTTAATTTAAATCAAAAACACGTCCTGTTTGGAGGTCTTTGGTGGGTTTCAAAATGTCTCATGATATCAGTAGCAGCTGTGTCATCTTGATATCAAACCAACCCGTTTAAATTCCCCCTTCGCGTGCTCGTCTTATTCATATCAGCTTCTTTGAGATTCAACCTCTCAACCTTTATGTGACATTTTGAAGGAGAAAAGCCCCACAGGGAGTGTTAGTGACTCCCTGGTGACATTCTCACTGCGCACACAGACACATAAAAAAAAGAAAAACTACAAACACACACACACACACTGGAGCATCTGTGAAGGACTCCAACTCCCACCAAACCTGCACAGGAGGAAGGTTGTTTATGACCATTTAGAGAGATGGAATAATTATATGTTTGTTCCAATAAGACATCTAAAATATCCTTTAAACCCTTTGTTTAAAATAATGAAACAGAAAAATGGCTGAACAACAATAACTGTGATACATAAACAAACATTGCAGTTTGATAATGGCCTTTGCTAAAGGCTACACTTTATTAAAATGACTCTTTTTATGGCATTAAATGGTTGTTGGTGATTGCTTTCATTAATCATAATAGATGAAGCTTTAACTGATGCCTGCAGGCTCTGTTTGCTCTCATTCACTTATAAACAAAAGGACAAATATCTTTATAATAATGGGTTTTTAAATAACATCTGCAATAAGGCTTTGACAGCCAGTTAGTTTCACATTTTTTAAAGATCTAAAATCTAACCTGGATATTTAATCAAATTCGTGGATGTGTAATGTTTATCTGCTAAAATAGACAAAATAAAAGCAATACATTTTATCTATGTGAGGTTTTTTTTTTTTTTTCCAATAAAACAAATAAGAAGAAAAACAAGTAATGAGTAATCTTTATTTTTGGGGGGGTAACGTGCCCCCTGCACTGAAGGAGAGAGGAGGGGACCCATGCGCACTGTGCCTCCTCTCCTCCGCGCTGCTGCTCTCCTCCTCCGACCGGAGGCGCGCAATTAGAGCCTCCGTCGCCTCCAGACTTCAAAGTAATAGACCTGCGACAGCCGGCCAGATGAATTAGTCGGTGTTCAGTGTCTGCATGGAGGGTAAGCTGAGCACGCGGGGGGCACGGAGAGTGTTGGAGATGTATGGAGGAGTCACGACGCACGACGCAGCGCAGTTCGTCATGACTTGGAAGTGAATCACGATGGGATTTCTGTGGTGACGTGAAATTTAGGTTAGATGCAATTAGGCATGGCTCGCGTGCTGCATATTTACCCGCAGCTGTTGTATGTAGCTGCTTTTTGAAACCACTTTTTTTATTTCAGCTGCTGCTCTTTTTTTTAATGATTTTTCTCTTGGTAATGTCGCTTTATTTTTGCGCTTGAACTTGCACTATTTCCCTCTATAAATTGAGCGTGGTTTTTGCGTGTGCGTGAGTGCGCAGCTGTAATCAAGTCTTTGCGGGATTTTTCTTGAGAGACGCCGCTTCATGCCTCGTGCACCTGTGGACGCCTGCACACAGAGCACCTTGGACGCATTTCGTTCTGCTTTCCTCCCCATGTGTTTCATCGTCTAAGGCTTTTTTTTTTTCCCTTCTGCACAAAGCGCTTGTCGGATGCACGGCTGGGTTTCCAGAGGTCTGCTCAGCTTCAGCACCACACCAGCTCTGAACAGCTCCGGGTCGTCGCTCCTAACCACCCGGCAACGATGGCATCACACGGTTTCTGGTCTCTTGGCGGAGATAATGCGGGGGCCAACACCGGCAGTCAGAGCCCCAGTACGAGTGAGTGGCTTTTTCGTCTACCACCAGTGATGGACACCACTTAATCCCAGTGCATTGTCTCAAACCAGTGCAGCTGCAAACAGGCCTGATGTATTTAGAGTCGACACATCTGCTTTTGGATGCAGGAATGAAGCCGAATTGGTTGTTGTGCTGCAACTTGCATGGCTGCTATGATAAAGTTGGACTCGAGCAGCGCCTGAATTCTTCGTCCTTTTTTTGATTTATCTCTTTTCTCTTGCAGCCAGGGCTTGGTGCCAGGCAGCGGCCCAGAAATTTCCGGGAGGGATTGGATCGAAATTATGTGGTATGTTACGAATGGGGGTGTGAGGAGAAGAGACGCTATCTCCTCTCGCTATTTCCTTTATTCAATTCACGGCCCTTGTCAGCAGTCATGTAAATATATCATTGATGTTTTGTGGTGTTCCAAAGCGCTGCTAAATGTCGGAGAGGTGGAGAAACCTGCCGAGCCCACCGACAAGCAGCCGCCTCAGACAGAAGCAGGCGGAACCTGCGGCTGCAACAAATCCTGCAACTGCACCAAAGCTCCTGTGGTCTTCTCCGACCTCTATTCAACAGGTACAAAAAGCACGCAGGAGAAACTGCTTTTCAAAACACTGTCCGAATCCTGATGTAACAAAAATGAAAATGTAATGCAGGTTTTTTTTTTAAATCTCGCATTCGCTTTTAAACAACTGGAAAAACGTGAAAGTATGAAATCACTGCATCTGACTGTTAAAAAATCTTGCAATGGCTGTCACCTAAATGACTTTTTTGCTTATCTTAAAAATGATTGTTACCCTTAATAAAAAATAAATGATGAAAATAAAAAGAGTAATAAAACATAATAATGCTGTGATTAAAACCTTGGTTTTATCTTTTTTTTTTTTAAATGTAAAATTCAGCTAGTTACGGTGTGCATTTTTTGCAGTGTTTGTCTATTTCTGGAGAGGTCACCTTCAGAAAAAAATGTCACGTTTTCAGGTGTCTCGTCGTACAAATAAGAAACTTAATTCAATTTTGAGACAAGTAAACATCAACTAAATAACCTATTGGATTTTCTTTTGTTTAAAGGCCTACATATTAATTTCACGTGTTTCCATTTTAAAGACCTATATGAATGTTAATGTTGCATGAAAACAAGTGTTTTAGCTCCAAGGGCCCATTTCAACGAGCAGAAACTGAATTCGGAAATAGACATCTTCATCTTCATCTTATGTATTTTTGTTTGTTTTTTCAGACCTGTTACCCGCCATGGACAGTGACGCCAAAACAATGACCTTCCTTCAAGAAGTTGTGGATATATTACTCGCTTACATCGTCGAGTCTTTCGACCGGGAAACGAAAGTTATTGATTTTCATTATCCCAACGAGCTGCTGCAGAAGAACAACTGGGAGCTGCAGCAGGAGCCCGCCACCCTGGATGATATCTTGATCAGCTGTCGCGCCACGCTGAAATACGCCATCAAAACAGGTAGGGGGACTAATGTTTCCAATGATTGATAGACTAAACACATTATAAAAAGCCTGTTTTATTCAGATTTTTTTTAAAGAAGATAAAGCATTGTCGGTTTGTCACGTTTAGAAATATTCCCTGCTTCAAAGATTTATACCTGCGAGGCCTGGATTCTGGCCTTTTGCCTTCTTATCGTTGGAAACATCAAAACCACGACGTTAATTGAATATCTAATTAAAATAAATAGAAACAACACCAAATATCTGATAGGAAAATTACATTTGGTAACACAGAGGAAAACTTCATTACGTCACAACTGATTCAAAATAGTAAGAACTAGCTGGCTGTTAACTGGTAGGTATTTTTTAATATTTGTATTGTGTTGAGAGATACTAAAGGAAAAATATATAATATGGAGAAAAGAAGTCTAAACATAAAAAAAAAAAAAAAAGAGGGAAACATCTTGTCAATAAAAAAAGATTCATCATGGAAGTTGTCCTCCTTTCCCTCCTCGTGGCCAGCAGACCGACAAACGCAATGACGCAGTAAATCTGGTTCAGCAAGGAGCAGATAATAGGCTAATAACCAGCAGGCTTCATGGGCCAAGTCTATTATTCTCCCCCCCCCCAAAAAAAAAACAAATATGTTATAGATCTGTGGGTAACTCTTTATTTTGCTTTAAAAACAATTGTGTAGACATGTAACACATGGTTATACATTATAATATAAGGGGCCATTCAAGTGTTAAGTGATGGTGAAAACCATTTTAATCCTTATATGAAAATTTATTTCACACCATGTACTCATAATATTGTAAATTATGCACCATCTTTTTTTTAAATACCAATGGGAAGAATATTTGTTGATACACACTGATCTGCTCACACTGTTTTATGTTATTAAACCAGTTGTTATAGTATGGTATTGTTTTTTTTATAGGTGGTAAATCTTAAGTGCAAGATGTTACATTTAATGTCTACAGATGAGGAAAAACGTACTAAACCAGCTTTTACAGAACACTTTTTTTTTGGGGCCTGTCTTTTATTTTTGGAACTCTCCTCCTTAATGAGGTTTTCTGTTTTATTAACAAAAGTAGGAAACTTAAATTGGGAGTGTTTACCTCCTCTAGTAAACTTCTATTTTAACCCATGCAGCACTAAAAGCTTTCAATATTCCTCAAGATGCTTTGAAATGTCACTGCGTCTGCATTTCTAACCTGCAATTAAAGCGTTCAGAAGATGACAGCTTCTCTGCATTTTTGACAAACTCAGCATAAACACTTTTGGAGAAAAAAAAAAAATCAATTTTCCTGCCTGACGCCTCCTGATAAAAAAAAATGATAATAAATGTTCAAATTGCAGCCACCTCTCACTGCTCCCCTCTGCTCCTTTTCATCAGCCCACCCCAGGTACTTCAATCAGCTCTCCACAGGATTAGACATGGTTGGACTGGCTGCCGATTGGCTAACCTCCACCGCCAACACCAACATGTAAGTGTGCCCCCCCCCCCCCCCCACCCCTCCCCTCCCC